ATAAAAAGACAAATAACATACAACAGCTTCCTTGTTTCCTGTTATAATAGCTTGTAGCAAAAAAACTTGGAAAATTATTTTTCCCACAGAAATAAATACAGCCAAATTTTTATAGATAAAATTTTGTTAACATTTTTTCAATGGTTCTTTGGGGCGCGAGTTCTGGCGCACCCAGTATAGCATGCGTTTAATTAAATTGTAATTTTAAATTAAGTTGGTAACAAACAACAATGTATAGAGAAAAATTATGAAAATTGACAAATGTTTTTCTTTTAATTTAACATTTGTTTGGTTACTAGGTTAGAATTTGTCAAATTTGTTACGAAAACCTGACGAACACAGCTAAAATAAAAAAACGAATTTCACACGACCACTACCAAAAATTAAAATTTTGTTGCATTAAAGAATGTTAGAAATTAGTACAATTTTTCTAAGATCATAGAAAAAATACAGTACCCAAGTCGGGTTATAAAAAATAGTTTTTTTTAGGAAACTGTTTAAAAATTAAGAAAAAAAAATATACAAACAAGATGAATATTTCAGCAGTTTAAAGTACGGAATACCTACTACCAAATTAGTTATGGCTATGATAGAAAAAGAGGGGGCAGTATTTTTGTCCATTTTGACAGTTTTTAGTTTTAAAATTTCTTAATTTAATTGGCAATGGAAAATCACCTGTCTCATTTTTCAACAAAATACCGACTTTTTCCGATGTAAAGTTCAACTGTTTTGCGTTTACCTTGGCCTTTCCACATTCCATTGCACAAAATGTGAAAAGTGCATCAATAGTTTTAATGATTTTTAAAGGGAATAAAGTACGCAATTATGTAGTCGGCCTTGAATCTCCATTATGTAAGAATTTTTTTCTTAAAAAAATCCCAAAGGTTACATGGTCAATCAGCATCAATGAGAATTTTTATTTCCTTACGTTGGTAGGGTTCAAAGTACTACAAACGTCACAATCCGGAAAAGAAACCAGTGGCGTAACAAAGAAAATTTTATTAAAGCCTCTCCAGTCTTATTTAATTTTTTTACTCGTTTTCCCATAATTATCTCGATAGAATTTTGTAAACAAGAAAATCATTAAAATATTTGTACTTAAAAACACAGCCGTCCAAAACTTGGGATACGAACAATCCTGATTTACCAACTGTACAAAAAACGTGAAAAACACAACGTAGTGTTGCACCTGAAACAAAAAAATAACTTAAATGTCAAAACTTGACTTGACTTACAATCTGCACTTGTGTCAAATATTTTTTCCACCAGGCACTTTTTCCATACTCGGGCCAACACACCGTCATGAGATAATATCCATACATAATAGTATGGACAAAAGTGTTATAAAAGCCGAGATAGAGGGCGTGCCCACCCGGGAAGTACTTCCCCGAAATCCACGCCGATGCCAACATACCGACATGGTGGTGCACGTGGAGATACGTCACCTGACGCCATCTTTTTCTCAAAACAAAAAAAATCTATTTTTAAATAAAAATATAACTATAGTATCAAGTACCGTATCCAAAAGATCAAGAAACTTCAAAAGAGTATAACAATGGTGGGCGACCAACATGGCGGACGTCGAATTTTCCGCAGGCGAACACAACAAATTGAGGTTAGGGACGATTTTTGCAAACTGAAAACTAAATTAGATCCCTCTAGTGACATTTCCCTAACCTACCATAATAAAAACGATAAAGTTGGCCACGATTTGGACGATATTGTACGCAATCATGACATATTTCAAGTTCAAGGGCTCGCGATGTTTCATCATAATAGGCCCGATTTTTAAAATGAAAGTCATATATAAGGCTGCTATGATTATAGGTTGCAGAGGTGATTCCATTAAAACATAGTTTTTTACTCGGGGATCTACCAATAATAATAATAATAATTAAAATTATTAAATCATCAAGTTACCTCCGAGTTTTTCAAAATCGGTGAAAAGTCGCACTGAGACGTCCATCGTACCACAAAGATAAAACAACATTGAAATGGCTTTAGTAAATTTTGAGTTAAATTTTACTAAATTTAAAAATAATTCAGGTAATCAGGGCCAACTACGCTCACCACTTTCGAATCACAGCAGGTGTGATTTTTACGTGCATCAAGGATAATGATGCGAAAAAATCGTAATCAAATAGTTCACTAATTTATTTAATAGTAGTGGCCCCAATTCTGTTATATCTTTTTTACATAATAAAAATAAAAAAACCCTAGACAAATATTTAATTATTTGATTAAATTGTTTTATTTTCTCAAGTGTCTAAAATTAATAACCGGTAGGAAAAATCTAGACTTGAAACTTGATTGTAGGAACAAGTCTAGAAAAAAAACACACATTTCAAGTTTTTTAAGCTTGCAATTGATTGAAGCTAAATCTAGACATGAGGTCGACATCGTAACCAGTGAATTATGGACGTTTCCTATTTCAGTAAAAAAGTTGTTAATTGAGTAATTTAATCTAATAAAGAGTGGAGGAGTTGTTAGGTTTTTTCGACGCAGTGGTGGAATTGCATGGTTTTTTTCCAACATTTAACCAGTAGTATTATTTAGAATGAGTTGAATTTTATTTTTTGCTGTAAATACAGGATGTTTGGAAATTCGCGCACCTCCTTGAAAGGGAGTAAATGGGTAGTCCCCTAGAGTACTGAAAAAATGTTTAAAAAATTCTATCTGTCAAAAAATATTGAGATATATTTTTTGACGTTTGACAAATTTTTATGTCTATTTAATATTTAATGACACTGATGATCTTGTATATGTTTTTTATAATTATCTAGTAAAGGTACAAAAATTTTGCCAATAAAAGCCCCAAAATAACACTAAACAGAATTACAATTTAGGATACAGCTTTCTTGTTCCCTCTTCTAATAGCCTGTAGCAAAAAAACTTGGAAAATCATTTCTCCAACAGAAATAAATAGAGTCAAAGTGCAAAATTTAAACTCTCATAACTTCGAAATTTATATAGATACATTTTTTTAAACATTTTTCTTGTTGTCTTGGGCAGTGTCACGGAAGTGCACGACTTTCCGGAGAGCCTGTATGTGTCTGTCTTATTAAACCAGTGTTGCCAAGATTGTCTTCACCAGATATTTAAATAAAAAATCTGGTGTGAACATGACACGACTTTCTTTATCCCACTTATCTAGAAAATATTTGCGTCGTAACAAATATTTGTCTTTTTAAGCTTGTTCAAATTGAAGCATGAAGACAACATTGTAATTAGTAAGGCTCGGATTATTTGCAAAATGCATATTTGTTATTAAGAGGTATATCAACAAAATTATGCATATCTAATGTTTTTTGATTAAAATAAGTCAATTAAAAAATGCATATTTTGTCAACTTCGTGCATATTTTAGGAAATAATGCATATTAGTGCATATTTTCTTCAAATCACAAATTTCCCATGAACAATTTCAGTTCAAGTTAAAAATTGGACAGTTTAAAAAAATGATCTGATTACAAAATATGTTAAAGAGAAAACAACCAGTAATTCGTAAGCCGGACTCAAAGAATTAGTATCTTGCTGAGTGTTTTCTTTTTAAATTCGTTTTATACAGGGTGAATATGTAGTTAAAAACCATAATTATTTGCCTCTGGAAAATAATAATTGATATAAAATAAAGTAATATCTGTTCGTATTTTCAAAATGAAATTTTGTTATGCGATTTTTTTATCAAAATTGTAATATATGTATTTTTTTTTAATTAATAAAAAGTAGATAGTCTCTAACACAGTTGGTTTTGGGAGAGTATACAAAACATTTTTAGTGGGTTGCCATTTAAAAAAATTAAAATTTTTGTAGTACTCAAAAACAAAAAAAATCGAGAAATTTTATTCTTGATAAAACATTTAATTCATCAATTAGTTAAAAAAAAATAAATAGTTTAAGCAAAAAATGTTTGGTTCCATACTTTTTATTCACCTGGTATAAAACGAATAAATCCTTCTATGTGGATTAGTAGTTGCCTGCAAATGAATTTTAGCAAAATTGTTTAAAGTGATGTGATCTGAAAAGTACAGATTTCTTAGAAAAGCTTAATTACTAGGTTATTAAAATGGCTTGTCTGAGGCAAAACCAATTTATTTATGCTCTTTCGTTCATCGTCTGCGGTTCAAGATGAAAATTCAAACTTTAGTGTACTCAAGGATAAAAAATTATTCCAACTTTGATTTTTTATTGTTAAAAGTTTTGCATATCGATGCATATTTGGCATATATTCGAGCATATTTCTTAATATTTTGTGCATATTTTTGTGAAAATACGTGCTTATATATGCGCGGATTTTTCGTGCAAATAATCCGAGCTTTAGTAATTAGTAATTAATCATAGTAGTGGTAAAACCGTTCTTGCCCTAAGGTCCAAATATGGAAAAACACCAACCACCACCACCATATTATGAACAACCACAACCATTTTCTAGCCCACCACAAGCACCTTACAACCCCCAACCTGCGGTTACGGCAGCCCCGGCATCGACCCGTAAGTCACTGACCCTCGAAAATTTTTCATTTGAATCAAAATTTTATCAAAACAGTGATAAGACTTGCAAAAATATGTTTTTTTTTTTAATATTTTTATTGATTCGTGGTTGTTTGAGGAAAATTCTTTTCGTGCTACGTCGGCATTTCTTATCAGTGAAACTAAATATATGCCATATGCGTACAATTGCCGTTAAAGATAAGACTTGCAAATATCGGATGAAAGCTCTCACGCTGTTAATTTTACTTTATTTTTTCGAGTTAAAATTATTGCGTGCACGCCACTGGATACAATTAATTTTTTCCCCAAATCAAGTCTAGCGGCGTAGACCTTGGCTCCATCAGGTCCCTAACCTTTAAGTGTGAGATTTTTGTTGCTTTTTGTCGCTCTCGGATTATGGAATTTTTTCAACCTTGTTTACAATTTTTTTTTTTCAGATGTTACCAACGTTCATGTTTCAACGCAACCGGCAATGGGGGGCACTTGCCCCATCTGCCACGCTGGTAAATTCACAGGGAGTTTCACGTTGTGTGGTTGGCTGTGTTGCTTATTTTGTTTCCCCTGTGGCATAATTTGCTGTCTGTGCATGCGCAAGAAGAAGTGCAGCCATTGCGGGTTTTCCCCCTCATAAAGTATTTTATAATATAAAAAAAATTTAAAGTTTTTTTTTCACATATTTGTTATAATGAACAAATCAATAAAAAGAAATTAATAGGGGAAGTGTTTTTTTGACCTCTACCTATCAAATTTGAATATTAATGGTGTTTAAAAAAAGTTTTTTTTTATTAACTACAAAAATAAACAACAAGAAACAAATGAATTTCGGAGATTTAATTTAAAAAGAATGAAAACTATTTTCAAGTTCAACAAGTTTCAGGTTCAATCCCTGGTTCGGATCATTTTTTTTAAATATTTCTTCAACAAATGAATACAAAAAGTTAGAAGTTCTCAAGGTGACAATTCAATAATATTTATACAAAGTGGTTATAAATGATTTTCATCTAGCCAGCTGTGAATTTTCCATGTAAAATAAAAAATGCCGCTTTACGGAAATAGGGGTACCTACTTGTTTTAACTCAAAATTAAAAAATCGCCGTTTACTAAGCGTCCACTTCGAAAATAGACTTGTTTAATTATAAACTTGTTTTATTCCAAAGTATACATTATTATCAATTATTATTGGAAATTAGTTGAAACAATAAATGTTTAATTAACAACAATTTATTTTATTAATTAATAAGTGACACTAATGACAGAACTAGAGCTTTCAAAAAAAGTAAAGCGGCACAAATAAAGTTACATGCAAAAAAATTCCAAAGCTGGCTAGATGAAAATAATTTATAACCACTCTGTATAATTTATTTATTATATAGTGTGTTCGTTTTTGAGGTCCAGCATGAGGCAGTTATAATAAGAGATACGAGATCAGTTAAATTAGGACATAGTTGCGCATTTTTATGCTGAACAATAATCTGAAAGAAAATTTATTGTGTCATTTTTAGCGTTTGAATTATTGGAAAAAAACGGAAATTTGTAATTTTCGTTTTTAATTTTTTAAGCGAAAACTAAAAGACCTAGACCTAGGACGTTCTTAAGGCACTTTTTTGAAAGAAATTTAAATCTGTTATCGTATTTTCCAAGGCGCTCTAGATATCAGAGTTACAACACTGAACTTTAAATTTTCTTATAGACGCCATATTTATTTTTGTATTTTTGTCTTGTTGTTCCTGACTACAACGATGTATCACACAATATAATCAAATTTTACATGCTGATCAAAATTAAGAAAAACCGTTTTTGCGGAGAGTGGAAAAATGCCATCAATTTTAATTAACAAATTATATTTTGAAGCTGGTGCATTCGAGCATCTTTTATAACTTTGTTGTTTTGTTTTGCGAAGAATAAATTCTAGTTTATCACGTTGTTTCTATTTGTTTTTAAGTTTGAAGGAAATGTGACTTCCAGATTCAAATTCAATTGAACTGTGAAAATTGGTAGCGTTTTTTCCAAAGCACTCTTCGCAAAAACGCTTTTTCTTAATTTTGATCAGCATGTAAAATTTGATCATATTGTGTGATACATCGTTGTAATCAAGAACAACAAGACTTTTCAAAAATACAGAAATCAAAATACAGAAGTCAACGTCGAGGTCTTTTAGTTTTCGATTGAAAAAATTAAAACAAAAATTACAAATTTCCATTTTTTTCCAATAATTCAAAAACTAAAAATGCCATTAAATTTTCTTTCAGATTATTGTTCAGTATAAAAATGCGCAACTTTGCCCTAATTTAGCCGACCTCGTATCTCCTCCATGGAGGAGCTCGAGAAACGAACACCCTGTATAAACTTACAGCTTGTTCCAAATCTGGTGGCGAACTGACGTTGTCAAAAATGACTGAATTTTGACATTAAACATATGTTTACTACTAAAAAAAATATTGTTCATAGGCGTCGTATGAAATAATATTTCAAAACCACTGTTATTCTTTAAAAAAATATAATAAGTAGGTACTCGTACATAAGATTAAACTGTTAACGCATGAAAAGAATTTTCAAAAATGATATTCCTAACAATCCTTGTCTTACAAATTTTTAGAGAAAAAAAAGTACGCCCATGTATTTTTTTATTTTAACCAAGTGGGCGCACTCCAAGTGTCTTTTCTGTCACTGTCAGTTCACCACCAGATATGGAATAAGCTCTAATAATATTTATACTAAAAAACACAGAGGAAAAATGTTTATTTATCAACATAATATAAGTTTTTCTCACCGAGAAACAACATAATGATAAAACTGATAATTTTTGTTGATAAAACACTTATCTTTTTGCAAAAATTTCTTGCAAAGTTTGAATCAGATCTAATTTTAAAATTAAACTTTTTTTCGATTTTTGTTGAGCTTTTGGTCGATTTTTGACACGCGGAGCAGACTCTTGCTAATAACTCCGGAATTATTGGTGCTAGCCTCCTGTATTAAAAATTGTTCAAAAAATAATAATTTTCTATCATATACAAAAAAGATCAGTGTGCAAGGATAAATAGTTAGAAAGAAAATTGCTGATAAAGTCAAAAATATCGAAAATAAATTTATACTATAACTTCTAAACCATTGCAAATTTTGCAGTTTTCTCGACTTGTATGTCTACTTCAAAATATTATTTCATTGAGGTACAATTTTACCGCCATTTACAAAATAAAAATCGGGTTTCATAAAAAACAGTCATATCTCAAAAGCTATGAGCCCTAGGTCAAAGCGGTTTGCACAGGCGAATTCTACGAGTAAATTTACATATTGTATGAGTTTTTTTTTTAAAGTAAAAATAAAAAAATTTTACAACCGAATTGTGTATGTTTATAGCTCTATTTTTAACTATTATTCAATGTCTTAAAAACCATTCATCGTAGAGGACTTTAAACTATTGCATCGTGTCCAGCGTGTAATTTTACGTCTAGAAACCACGTTTCAATCGTTTGTACGACAAAAAGTTGTTTTGAATAAAATTTCATTGAATCAAATTAAATTTTAAACAAACGGAATATTTAAATAACCTTTGCATAATTATGGATTTTTTGTAAACGTAGGAGGCAAGGGAATTATAATTTTCAGCGTATTTTATTATCGAAGCAATATTGTTAACTAAGTAATTATTTTTTATCCAGGTATCTGTTACAAAAATTGAATTATCTTCAGTGTATTATTGCTTGCCATAACAGTTAAAAAATAAAAAAGTATCATCTTTTTAATCGATTTGTTACACAAACACATTCCTTTTTCCTTTTGACCAAAATTTTGACTAAAAATTCGCTCCGAAAACCCCGAAATTTGCACCTTTTAATGTCACGTAATCTCTAGATGATGTAGTTAGTTATCTGTTGTAATTAGTCTTTGACCTTGAAACAATATTCTATTCACAATAACATTAATAAAACAATTATTATCACATGAAAATCTGCACTCCTTACAATCGTAAGTACTTATTTAAAAAAAAACCTCTCGAGATTATTTTTTCTAAATAGAAATGGATTCTTTCAGCCCTTCAAAACCCCTATTTAAGCCCCCAACACTTCCCCACGTCTCAGTCGTTTGAAAATGAATCCTTGGGTAAAAATCTCCCTTCATTTGTGCATTTTCGGCTTTTTGAAAGAAATCCGCCCTTCGGAACCCTTCATTTACGACTATTTAATCGGCCCTTGGCGCAACGTTACTGATGATGAAGTGACGAAACAGGTCTATCCAGTTGGCACCTACGCCAACATGATTCTCCTAGTGATAGTTTTCCTCATCACTGATATCTGTCGCTACAAGCCACTTATCGTGGTTTTAGGCCTTTCAGGAATCACCGTTTGGGGTATGCTGATTTGGACAACAAGTCTCTTCTTTTTACAAGTCCTTGAAGTAAGTCAACATGAGTCCAAACCCAAGTTTTAGTCAATTTCTAGGTTTTTTACGGCATGTTTTGTGCGTCAGAAGTCGCTTATTACACTTATATTTATGCAAAAGTCGACAAAGAGCACTATCAGAAAGTGACATCACACACTAGAGGCGCCATTTTGGCCGGTCGCGCCATCTCGGGGATCACATCACAAGTTTTAATCTCCACAAACATCATGGACTTCAAACAACTCAATTACATCACGTTTGCGTGTAAATTGTGATTTTGATTCAAATTTCGCGCTTAATTCAAGAGTTTCAGCTGTGAGTTTGGCAACACTGTGGGCGTTGTTTCTACCGTCTGTCAATAGGAGTCTCTATTTTCACTCAGACGGGTCACAAGATCGGGCGTTTTCGGCCAAAGTCGGCTCGGCTTTTACCCTAATGAAAAACCATTTTCTCGACGCTTTTACCAACAGTCACGTGGTTAAATGGTCGGCTTGGTGGGCACTTTCCACGTGTGGTTATGTCCAAATTGAGACTTACATGCAACCACTCTATTCGGTAGTACAAAATTCGAACGAAACGGCCTATAATGGCGCCGTCGAGGCCATCTTGACTTTAGCGGGATTCCTCGTCGCGCTTTTGGCGGGATATTTGAAACTCAACTGGGAGATTAAAGGGGAACTAACACTCGGAATATTTTCCATGATTCAGGGGATTCTCATCGTTGTTATTTCACAAACTGATTATATTTTTCTATGTTACGCGTTTTATATCGTTTTTGGGATTTTATATCATTTTATGGTGACGATTGCAAGTGCGCAAATTGCCAAAGTTATCGATGAGGATAGTTACGGCTTGATTTTTGGCATAAACACGTTTTTTGCATTAGTTTGTAATTCGATTTTAACTGTTTTAGTGGCCACTGAAGGAGTTGGCTTTGCGTTAGATCCGAGGGGTCAGTATGTTGTGTATGGGGGCTACCATCTGGCTATTTCACTCATTTTTGTGATTATGGGGCTAAGGACGTGTTTTGGGAACCGGGGGGTGAGCGAAAGCAGTGATAACATCGTTGATAACACGCCAAAAGCTTAATTTTATTATTAAGCTAGGCAACCAATAATACACTTTTCAATAATTAATTAAAATGTGTATTATGGTTGCATAACTTTAATTATTTTTAAGACAATTTTCAACAGGTGCAAAATCTTGACAAGTTGTTATTTTCTCAACTCCCTTCACACATTCGAGAATTTTTTCTTTACTTTCTTCACTTTCATACCCAATATTCTTACTTTTCAATGTTTCCACGCAGATACTTCCGTCGTCTTTCAAACAGTCTAGTTTTTCAAACATGCATTTTAAAAAACACAAAATTTCTTCACTTGCAGGGTCTTCAGACGGTTTATAATTCCCCAGTGTTTCAGCTGAAATTCCAGTCTCGTTTCTACACAAAGCTCTTGCTTCGACAATTTCATTATCATCTGCAAACTAGTGAAAACGAAAACTCGAAATGTCAGTTTTCAAAAAAATACCACTAGAAATGTTTCAAGGAACAAAAATAGTACAAAGCACAATATATTTGCCATTTTAGTTTATTACTGTTGCAGTTTCACACTTTTATAATCAAGTTTTTATGTACTCAATAAAAATGATTGCGGAAGCAATTAATTGTTTCCGAGTTTTTGTACCGTTTAAAAAACACTAATTTAATTAATTATATTGGTTAAAGTAGCGCACAGTGTCGCTACCCCATTATTTGACATTTCTACCAACACAACAAAAAAGTGGTAGTTATGTCACCCAACTTCCGATTACTCTAATTGACATAATGCGACTTCAAATCACACTCAATTATTAATCAATAACAAACAAGCATTTTTATCGTTTATTTTCCCAAGAGAAACAATTTTGAATTTTCTCAGTTACCGGATTTCGATTATATGCGCATGCGCGTTGTTTATATTTCTTCAAAACACGAAAATAATTTTTGTAAATTAAACAAAACACCGAAAATAATTTTTGTAAATTAATAGTTCACGATTCATTAGTTAGGTACCTGATTTTAGCCAAGAAGTGTGCTTAAATTCTTTTGAAATGGCCTATTAGTTGTTCTTTTGAACAAAACTCATTTTGAACAAAAACAACACCACCCTTTGCACAAACACTATTTACGTCACCTTTTTGTGTTTTTCACGTCTCCCGCGACTTTTACCACCGTTTTTGTTCGATTTTCTCAGAGTTTGAGACACATTTACGCAAAATGTCAACTGTCACAAATCCAAAGCACCCTATACGTGTTTTCTTGAAACGGTAATTTAAACATTTTTGGACCTTTTTGGGACATGAAACTTTTGCTTTCGTTAAGTGTTTGATTAAATTTTCGTTTTTTAACATTACATTTTGTCGTTTTTCACTTTCATTAGTGTTTCTAAAATTTCTTTTTCTAGTGTTGCCAACAGAAATGATTTAACACTAAAGTCACTAGACTTAAACCAGTTCAAAATATACAGACTTCGTATTATGTAATTTTAATTTCCAGAAAAAAAGAAAAGCTAATGGTACGGCACATGTGTGAGAAAGCAAGACATATCACGTTGTGGTGAAGCATTGAAAAAAAAACAAATTTTTGACCTTCACTGAAAAAACAATATAAAAAGCATCACTGCAAAAATGTCTCATTCCAACAAAACAAAATGTGGTCATTATTGCACTTCCTGTTCTCGTTTTTTGTCCTAATTTCAGCCCAAGTAAGTCATTGCCAATATAAAAATAAAATTACTAAGTCGTTTCCAGAAAAAGGGGAAGTACTGGACAACAATCAGCGAATGTATGACTGAATATTCAATGGATGTTGAAGATATAAAGAAATTCGACTTACCGGCTGAAAATATGGGCGAAGAAATACTTTGTTTTACTAAATGCTTCTACGATAAACTTTTAATTACAAATGAAGATGGCAAAATCAGTATTGACAACCTCAAATCAATTCCCCTAGTAAACGCCATCGATGAGTCCAAATACGACGATCTGGTGACTTGTTTGAAGGAAGTTGGCAAGATTGAAAAATGCGAAGATGTGAAAAATATCGAAAAATGTTTTGTTAAGTATATTTAATCGTTAAAATAAAAAAACAAGGTTAAGGGTTAATTGTTTTTATTTCGTATTTTGGTCAAAACAGTATTGTATTTTTCTAATGTCGGTGCATTTATCAATTATTTGTATTTCTTTAATACAATTCTTCACTTTATCAGTTTTCAAACTTGGGTCACCAAAATCAGGGATTACATCGATTTTGTCCATATTAATTTTCCCATTTTCGTCCAAAAGTCGCAATTTCGTGTAAAAACACTTAATAAAACACAGAATTTTCTCAGGAACATCTGCAACACTTTCGTAAATTTTCATTTCATCTTCATTGATATCATTTTCTTTGAGACACTCGTCTTGGAATTGGTCCTAAAATTGACTATTATTAGTGGAATTTGATGAGTTGGCACACCTGATCATCGCCGTGACACCCTGCAAGGGCACACAAAAGTACAAAATAAACAATCATTTTGTCATTTTTTAACCAAATTGTCGACAATTTATAAACGAAAAACCGGAAAAATTGTAACAAAAGTAATAACACTAAATTATGTTTAATCGCTCCAAAAAAATTACAGTAACCTTCAATTTGACTATAAATGACTTTTACCACTGCAACCAACTTTAAACAGTGCTACCAACTCAAGATGCGTCCAATCACGAGCCTTATCTTTACTCTTCTTGTCGTTTCTTCATTCGGAGACAAAGAAAGCGACGAAATTGTGAGTATTTTTTATGTTTATTATTTTTTAAATTTAATTTTCTTCAAATAGATGCAGGAAATTTTCAACGACTTGGATGGAGAAGCTGCCGATTTACGAGATCAATGTTTGGAAAAAAATTCAATTAAAATCACTGATTTGAAAAGTTACGACAATGCTAGTGCCATTCCAGAACGAGACTTATGTTTTTATAAATGTTTCTACGAAGGAATTGACTTTATTGATGAAAATAGCAACCTCAACGTGGAAAATTTGAAAGAAATTCCCGCCATTTCTGAACTAGGGGAAGAACTCGTCAATGAAATGACTGTCTGCGTCGAAAAAATTGGAAAAATTAGGTGTTGTGGCGACGTGAGGAAAATCGAGCAGTGTTTCCAAAATATAACCATGTAGACCAACTTGCTAGACAATAAATAACTAAATGAATGCCGTGTTTTATTGAGGTTATGTTTGACATTTATGGGTGACAAATATGTGTGTTTTGTTGCAAAATAAGCAAAATAATGAAAAAATTATTTGTTTTCCGAAAAAAATAATTTAATTTTATGTTTAAAAATGTGCTTATCCATTGTTAACTTGATTTTCAGTAATGTAATAAAAATGAAAAAATCGACTTCTCAAAGTGGTTATTTTAATACGTAACCAGGCACTAAAGTGGAACTTTTTATGACGGGAGCGATCTCCGAGAAGTGTAAAAAGTGTATACTCTATTTCATATTAAAGTTGAACTATACTGAATAAAAAAATAAATCGTTATTTAAAAAATTATGAAAAAATTATCATAACTTTTTGATGGCCTTAGCAGCATTATACAGGGTGCGCCAGAACTCGCGCCCCAGAGAAAAATAAGGTAAGATACCAGGAACGTGGAAAAAATATTAAAAAAAAAACATCTATAAAAATTTCGAAGTTTTGAGGGTTTAAAGTTTGCACTTTAACTCTATTTCTGTTGGAAAAATAATTTTCCAAGTTTGTTGCTATAGGCTATTAAAAGAGGAAACAAGGAAGCTGTATCCTAAATTGTAACACTGTTCAATGTTATTTGTGGCTTTTATTGGCAAAATTTTTGTCCCTTTACTAAATAATTGTAAAAAAAAACATATACAAAATCATGAGTATCATTAAATAGATATAAAAAAAGTCAAATGTCAAAATTTTTTGACAGATAGAATTTTTTAAACATTTTTTCATGTTCCTGGTATCTTGCCTTAATTGAAAATTATCTCTGGGGCGCGAGTTCTGGCGCACTCTGTATATTAATTTCAAATTTTTTGTCCGTGCCGTTTAAAAATAAATTAAGAAAACTTCTATTTTTGGCCATTTTATTTTTTTATAACAAAACTGTACGGAAGTATTTTTTGATTTATTTTTGGTGTATGTTAGATTACTACCTACTTAGGTTACTGTATTTTTTTCATGCAATTTAAATAATGCGTTTTTTTATAAAAAAAATAAAAACTATTGTACATCAAGTAGGTTGTAGAAATCTAAATGCATCTTTAATTTAAAAGCAAATTTACAAAAAAAGTGTCATTTTTGCTTGGTTGCCATCTTAAAAGTGTCCCTTTCAACGACTACTTCGACGCACATTAATATGAAAACGACTATACATAATGTTTTTCTAAAATTTTGAAATGTTATACAATTCACATTGCACACTTTATAGCCGACTTTGATTGAAATAAGAGTCGCAAAAGTGCTTGTTTACGGACTATTTTGGGTTACTTTACGGACGATTTGAAAAAAAGTCATTTATTGCATCTACCCTAAATTCCCACATTATTTTATTTAGAAATTACAGAAAAATTCAAAGATATTTATGAGCGCATTCTCTCTGCTTCCCAAAGTCCTGACATGTTTCAATCTTTCCAACCTCCTTCAAACACTCCAAAATGTTATTCTTCTTTTCTTCACTTATTTGTGACATCAGTGGTAGGTTTTTCAATTTTTCTTCATTTATGTTACCTTCGGAATCGATCAAACCGCCTTCCTCTTGCATACATTTTCCAAAACACATCAAATCTTCCGGAATTTCGTCGCCTTCGAATTTCAAATCTTCTTCTTTCAAACCAATTTTATCCAAGCATTTGTCTCGCAATTCGATGAAGTTTTTATCGGCCATTAATTCATTGCGGAGTTTCTGAAATTTAGAATTAAAAATGTTAAATAAATGTTATACATACTTCAAAGTCTAGAGCAAGACTTGCAACAAGAAGACTGAGAAAAACAAATAATCGACACATTTTTGCCATTTTTGGATGTCTGTGGTGTTGTTGTGGGTTTTATATTAGGTGTGAAGGCTATCATAGGTGTTATTAAATTAATTAGAAACGAAATAAGGTAATTAGGGGCAAATTGGGCGTGCAACACTGTGAGTATAAGTGGCAACGGTGTCAATTTAGGGAATTTTGAGTTTCTTTAATTATCAACCTTGATAATTTAATGATATGAAACTAGTAATTTGTTACATCACACCGTTTTATAAAAGTGCTCAAATTGCAAAAATGTCATATTTTAAAAATGGCGCTGTTTCAACTGCTCTTGTTTTTGTCACTCGCTTCGTTTCAAGTATGTTTCAAATTTCAGATCAATTTTTTACGATTTTTTTCAGTCAAGTTTGGCTCAATTTTTCATGAATGAGAATTTTACTGAAGTGAGAGAGGAATGTCTTACTGAAAACTCTGTAACAGCAGATGAAATTCATGATGGTTGGAAAATGCATCACAATGTCTCCGAAAAACTGTTATGTTTCCATAAATGTCTCTTAGAGAAAAAGGGATTGATTGATGAAAATGGTATCATCCAAAAGGAGAAAATTCCCGAAGTAGTGACACTCAAACACAATGAAAAACGCGAGGAAATTTTCACTTGTATTGGAAATATCGAGAAAATTGAAACTTGTGAAAATGTTCTCGAAGTAATGCATTGTTTTCCCAGAAGAAGAAAAGATTGATTTGGCTTGTAATTAATTAATTATTCAGACAATAAATATGCAAAAACATACTTAACTTTATTTAACCTTCACCAAAAAATTATTACTTGCGATGACATTGAAAAGTGTGGAAATTGTCTCGAACCGAGCTTTGTTGTGTGAAAAATTAATTGAGGAATTGTCGTATTCCGGTTTTTTGTCAACTTATTCGGTTATAAATGATGTAATTTGTGAATTAAACGTATTTCAATAATGAAGCGAAAAGTATTTTTATTAATTTTTGTGGTTTCCACATATGGCGCCATTATGGAAGTAAGTTTCAACATAAAGTAGTGTTTTTTTTTTAACTTTTTTTTAAAGGATTCAGAAATTACAACAGTTATCCAAAAATGTGTCATAAAAACAAACGCAAATGAATCGGAATTTTCTAGCCCCCAGTTTCTTCAAACGACACCATCAGAGTCACTTTTATGCGCAGCAAAGTGTGTTTTAGAATCGCTTGAAATCGTCGATTCTGATGGAAATATTATAATGGACTCTTTGAAAGAATATATTCGTCCTTTATTTACTTCAGCTCGAGAAGCTATAGTCACATGTGGAGACGAAATTAAAACTGTTACGACCTGTGATGATATGGAAAAATACAGAAAGTGCATAATGCCACTGATGAAAAACTCATCTTGATTTTTGTAATTACCGCCACTTTGAAATAAAACGTCAAATGACGTCACTAATGTCATTTTTGTTGGTTTGGTCAATCGCAAATAATTGCTTGACGTTTCTTTTTATAACCTCAAAATGACAGAAGAAAAAATTCTTGAATTATTGCTTCCCAAACATTACGATTACCCCAAACTCGAGTCAAACGCCGCTGAGACGATTGCAAAAAGCCTCACTGACATTATTTACGACACTTTGACGCCTAAATCGACCAATAAAAGACTGAACGTTCTTGTAGTTTTGCCACTTTTTGAGGGCTTTTTATCGACTTATTTTTTCAGAAATTGATCAAAACATTTGCGTCACATGTCGATGAGACAAATTACACGACTTTTATTGACGCACTTGAGGGACAATTTGATGATACCAGTGATGATTTTTTAAATAAGGTCAAAAGTGATTTAAAGGGGCAATTACCCAAAAATTTGTGCGAGGAAGTGTTGCAATTTTATCAGAGAAGGAATCAGAAACGCGAGGAGAGGATAAAACGGCTTGGTATTGCCACAAATTAAGTTAGTTCAACCTAACCTCATTTTTTAGAATTGATCAAAAAATACGACCAAGAAACGCTAAATAATGATAATTTTTTGTATAGAGTTACACGAAGTATTACGCATTACGAAACCAGTGAAAATCTTGTGAAACAATTATTAAATAACGAACAGGAGGATCAAAATTGTCACAAATTAGTCGACTTCAATTCACTTGATTATAGGGGGAAACAAGTACAGTTTGCGTACGGATTACTTTACTTGAAGCGTTGGGGGACCTTGAGAAAGGTTTTACAACGGTTAAAAACGTACGAAACTTTGACAGATTTTGAAAAAACATTCTTGAGTTACTTAAACGAAAATGGTGAATGTTTGAGGGAGATCCTAGTCAAGGATTTTATTTTTCTATACGAGAATATTGTTTTGAGTCTGTGTACACGAATAATTCAACTACACGACGCTCAAATACCCCAATTTTTTGCAACTTTGCTCTGTGATAAACAATATCTAATCCTGAAAAGTTTGTGTTCAAATAACAAATTTAGGCTAAAACTGAAAAATTTACTCTTCGAATTGTACGGTTTCAGCTTTTGTAATGTGAATTTATTGAAATTTATAGATTTATTTGAATAAATGATTTCTAACAGCGCCCTCTACACATTTTTTGCTCTTTGAAACCCACCAATAATAGCATTGCCAACCTCTTTATTGTTTGCATGCTGCAATAATGATAATATTGTACGTATTTAAATAAAAATTGGTAGTAAAAAATGTTATACCATTGTTGTGAATTAAAATTTTTTTAGAGAATTTTAATTAAAGAAAAAATTTGGAGTTTTAGTTTTTGGTAAAATTTAGTCATAGTTGGCGACACTGAAGCAGTTGTCATTGCAAGATGGCGTCGATTCTGAAATTGTCGAAATCCGTGGCAAAATTGTCAAAAAATGGGTCAATAATCCAGGTAATTCTCCACTTTTATTCAACTATTCAAAATCTGCGTACTTTGTAACCCAAAAAACGCACTTTCCGTATAAATAAGTATTAAATAACAATTACGTAATAACATAACCTCAAAATCATTTCAGACGGCTAAAACTCTACGAAATGCCTCAACGGCCGCTGAACAAAAACAAGTTGTCTTGAACGTCCCTCCGACAAACGTTACGACACTAAATTCAGGTCAGTGGTGCCAATTTCGTTTTTTGGACTCACCCTTGAGTTGCAGGAATCCGAGTCGCGACTGAAGATTGGGGCTCACACACAGCCACGGTTGGTATCTGGATCGACGCCGGAAGCCGATATGAGAACTCGAAGAACAACGGAGTGGCCCACTTTATGGAGCACATGGCTTTTAAAGGCACGGGTAAACGGAGTCAGACGCAGCTCGAGGTGGAGATCGAGGACATGGGGGCCCAACTGAACGCCTACACCAGTCGCGAACAGACAGTCTACTATTCGAAATGTCTGGCAAAAGACGTCCCCAAAGCGATCGAAATCCTGGGGGACATAGTCCAAAATGCGAAACTGGGGGAAGCTGAAATCGAGCGTGAACGTGGGGTTATCCTACGTGAAATGCAAGAGGTGGAGTCCAATCTCCAAGAGGTGGTTTTCGACCATTTGCACGCGATTGCGTATCAAGGGACCCCTTTAGCTAACACTATTTTGGGGCCCACTGCCAACATCAGGTCAATCAATTCGAATGATTTGCGGTGCTACTTGGATAATCACTATAAGGCGAGTCGGATTGTTGTCGCCGGGGCTGGGGGCGTCAACCATGACGAATTGGTGAAACTCTGTGAACAACATTTGTCCAAATTGAATAATAATTATCCTGATGAAATCCCGATTTTGGCCCCATGTCGATTCACGGGGTCCGAAATCCGGGTCCGGGATGATTCCCTACCCTTAGCCCATATTGCCATAGCCGTGGAGGGGGCTGGATGGACCGACCCAGACACTTTAACCTTGATGGTAGCATCGACCTTGTTGGGTGCATGGGACAGGTCCCAAGCGTCGGCAAAACAGAACGCTACGACTCTGGCACGTGCGAGTGGTGAAGGCGAGTTGTGTCACTCGTACCAAAGTTTCAACACCTGCTATAAAGTACTACCAACTGTCTTAAATTAAGTTCCCTAGATTAATAACTGTTTCAGGATACGGGCTTGTGGGGGATTTACTTCGTCTCAGACCCTCTCAAAATTGAAGATATGGTCTTCAATATCCAGCAAGAGTTCATGAGGTTGGCTACAAGTGTCACTGAGGGTGAGGTGGAGAGGGCAAAGGCTCTTCTCACCGCCAACACTTTACTCCAATTGGACACTTCTACCGCTGTTTGCGAGGATATCGGCCGTCAATTGTTGTGCTATGGGAGGAGATTGCCCCCTCATGAATTGACCCATAGGATTAATTCCATAACGGCACAAAATGTCAGAGATGTGTGCTATAAATATTTGTACGATAGGTGTCCCGCTATTGCTGCAGTGGGGCCAGTCGAGCAATTGCCTGATTACAACAGGATTCGTAGCTCAATGTACTGGATACGTGTTTAAATTTAAAAAAAAAACAGTGTAAATAATTTTTGTTCCAACTAATTTTATTAATAAAGTACATGTCATAGTTGCTTGTTATTTTACAAAACCATGGTAACGAGGGTTGTGCGCATGCGCCTCATGGCTATTGTGAAAAAGGCGCGCTATTTGGTTTATTTACTATACTACGTGAGAAAAATAATGTTGATTATGAAACCGATTTTTATACTTTGGTCGCAAATTTAATCATACAACTGTTCCGTTTGCATTAACGACCTGTTATTTTCATGTGGTAAATACAATGGGTTCAATTTTGATATATTTATAATTCAAAAAGAGGAAATGACGTTGCAAAAGCGGTAATTATTGCTTATATTGTTAATTTTTCGAATTAATGGATCATTACGTACAAAACAAGTTTCGTACAAGTTGTCTTGTTAAAAATTCGTCTCAAATCTTGTTTTGTTGGTCCTTGACGACTTGATAGGTGAGTGTCTTTTAAAATTGAGCAAATTCGGATTAATTGTTTGAAATTGCAGTAAAATGTCTCTACCGTACGAATTCAAAGCTAAAACAGTTGTCGAAGAGGGAAGAACAAGTGCGGTTCTAATTCAAGAAATGAAAAATTGGCTATCGACAACAAATCTCCCCCAACTTCAGGACGAATCAATCGTGTTGTTTCTTTTGTCGTGTCAAAACAATGTGGAGGAGACTCAGAAGACAATTCGGGCTTATTTCAAAATAAAAAGTGAAGCTCCGGAGATTTTTCAAAACCGGGACATTGATGACGAAGTTTTGCAAAAAGCAATGAAAGTTGTGTAAGTCTAAACTATTAACGAACTGGTTTGAGTGCGTTAACAGACTAGGGTATTTTTGTTTTTAATGTTGATGGCAAGTAAATTGCTAATTGATCGAATTTTCGCTGGTGAACATGAAAAAACCTCCTTGCGAATTCATTTCCAATCAGTGTCGCCAACCCAAAGAAATAAAATTCACCAAATCTTAGTTGAAAAGTTGGCAGATTTAGAGCTATTTTCACCAAAGTACAAGATGTGATTTAAATTTTTCTAATACTGTCAAAGGTTTATTCACACACGTGCTTAAAAAGGCAAAAATGACATTATTTTTGGTCTAATTCTGTAATATTTGCCCAATTTTATTTACGTTTCTACCTGAAAAACATGATAAAAAACTTGTAAAAAGCAAAGATTATGAGTGAATTTTATTGGGTTTTAATAAAATCTCGCGAAAACTGAGATTAGTTAAAAAACGTGACTTCAAAAAGGTAAAGTAGCACAGTTTTCGATCAAATTGTGTGTTTTTCGCCTTATTTGTTGACAAAATTACACTAAAACGAGCTAAATCGAATAAAACAAACGAGATGACATTAATTTAAATTTATTTTTGACAAAATATTGCAAATAAGAGGTTCCTAGTTCAAAAACGAACCAAATCGAGCGCGAAGAAGCTAAAACGTTTTGTCTTTATTTCAAAAACGTGTCTAAACACTTTAAAAATGCAAAAATACTGAAATTTCGGTTTGTTTTTCTGTTTCTGGCTAAAAAATGCACTAAAACACCCCGAAAAAGGCCTAAACAATGTATAATTCCTCTATTTTAATGATTTTTTTACCTAATTTTAAGAAACACTTTGGCAAAAAATTGAGTTATTTCTGACAAAAAAAAGGGGAAAACCACTGAACTTGAGAAATTTTCACCAGACCTGGCAACACTGTGCAGAATGAAAACTGTCAGTCCTAGTCTTGTCCTAGTTGCTACGGATTACCAACCGACGCAAAATTCCCTAAATTTAATTCATTTTTTTTCAGAACTTTTAGCAGCCTCCCTGTGCGACTCAATAACAACAAAACTGTGATCCACTTCTTCAAACTGAACGACACCAATTATAGAAATTTCGACTTGATTGCAAACATGAAATTAGCATTTATGCTTATAGACATCAGTCAAAGAAATAATCCTCCCAGTGATTTAATTGTAGTAATTGACATGAAAGGGGTAATTAACCGACTTGGAACACATATTTATTTTTTTATCATCATTGTTAATTATCCTAGGCCGGCTTAATGCACCTCACGTGTCTCAAAATAGGAGCTTTAAAAAAATTCATGGACTTCCTACAGGAAGCAATGCCTCTCAGGATGCTAAAAATACATATTCTGAATGCCAACTACGTCTTCGACAAAGCTTTAGCCATCGGTCGCGTGTTTATGAAAAACGAGCTGATGGAAATGGTAAAAATTGACGCATTTAATAACCAATAAAAAAATCAGATTCAAGCTCATCCATCAAGGTTAACTATGGACGAAATCTACGAAAAATGTGTCCCTCCCGCGTGTTTACCCCAAGAATATGGCGGGGGATTACCCCCATGTGAGGAATTAAACCGGCGCACCGTCGGGCAATTCCGGGAATTGAAGAAATTCTTCGGGGCGGAAGAAAAGCTAATCAGTGGTTGGCAACAAACTGTAGAAAAATAAAATAAGTAGTTTTTTATAAATGTTTTATTTTTTTGTAACTGAAGTTTTTAAAATAACATTTCAATATAAATTATACGTGTGTTATGGCGTCCGAAATGGACCGCAATCGGTTGTGATCCGTGAATCATTTTTTTGTTTTTTTACCAAACTATTCCTTCTATTTTATTAAAACACCTTAAATGGGACATAAGATAATATCTATAACCACGACTAATCAAGAATTGTTCAGCGTGTGAAAAATCTGAAATCGATAATACTGATGTGAAAAAATGAAGCGCGCCAACCAATCGACCATTATTCATAGTTACAGATAGAATTTTACGCGGTAGCCTACTTAATAACATCTATTTTTTACCAATGAATTTTATAGAACACATTACCTTACCTAATATTATAATGTACGGAGTACATCAGCTGCCGGAGTTGTTCTCTTCTTGTAGCCTAATTGACGCGACTAACCGAAACACAATCTTTGGTATTTGTTCTCAAGATTCCTAATTTCTATCACATAAAAAAGTTGCAGGGCAGTTGATGTAATCAATACACGAACAGCCAGATTCTCGTCATGTTTGCCTCAAAACAAACATAAAAAGAATACACACAATCTAGGTATATAAAGTTTTTCTTTATCAATTCATAAAACTTTAAAAAGTACAAACATGACAAAACAAGGGGCAAATAAAGCGCTAAGAACTGGATGGCAGATTTTCGTACTTTCAAAAGTTTTAAACTTTCGTCGAAATAAAAGACGCTTTGAATTTTTTTGCTCAACTTTTCGCAATCAAAAAAATTCACAGCTAAAAGACGCAATAGTTATAGTAATAATGTCCAGCATTTTTTTTAAATTTAAAAATCTCCAATACATACATAAAATTTTCGCAACATTAATTTTTCTTTTTTCTTTATATAATTTATAGTATCACTAAAAAGCTAGTTCTGAGTTTTAATACAATTCTGGGAAAGTTTGGGACAGAGAATGGACGATTATATATCAAACGAGCACAATACGAAATAGCGCCATCTGTCGGCCCCGTACTTGAATTAACCACAAAACTGGCAGTTTCTCATTGGATAAAATTGTAGGAAAAAGAGCACAGACCACGCCCACTTCGTATTAAACAACAAACGAGGTTCTTGTTGCGTAATCTAACAAAACAATGGAGCATTAATCCAAAAATACCGCTTTTTAACCCTACAACAACTACGCAATTCAATAATCGTCCAAACTCCAAGACATGTCCCATAAAAATCAATAGTTGACTAGTTATCTAGAAAAATAAAAAATCTAAAATAAAAAACATCGTGGCAGATAGGATAAATCAATATTTATATAATTTTTATACATATAAAATTTTGATGCAAAAACCTTCTCAAATGAATAATAAAAAAATAATTTAAAACTTTTCTAATCACAATATTTTGTAAGAATGTAATGCTGAGCTAAGACCCGTTAGGAGCTTATCAACTTTTTTTTTTTTTGAGACACCACAACCGGAAACGAAAAATAGCCATCTTGACAATCTTTTTCTAATATAGAAATTGTACAAGAATGTGTTTTTTGGGTCCCGAAACAAAATCCAAAACACAACACCCAAAAAATTGATACAGTGGCGTCCCTTTCTTCCATTCCATCTCCAACAACTTAAAACGAGCTAAATAAATAATTTAGTAATATTTCGTAACATATAATAGAGAATCTAACATTTATAGTGTTTGCAACACTGCACAGAAAACCCAACTCACAACTTATCGTACGGCGGTGCCAAAGTCTCATTTTAAAATTATGCGCATGCGCAGAAGACCAAAACTAAGACCTTGACACCGCTCCTATCCAATTTTATAATTTGTTATTATAATAAATCTAATAGTCTAAAATGGCCGACTAGCCTACTTTAAACTTGTCCCGGTGTCCTGTTGGGTGTTGTTGCCAACCTAGAGAACAAAAAATTACTAGTTTTTCTCCAAACTGGGTTTGAAAAAATCAAATTTTCTCACCAACGGATGCGGTTGATCCGATGACATCCCACCGCCGCCGACGTTCGCTTGTCCAGTGCCGCCGGACACCGCCCCCGTCGTCGACGGTTGCTTGATCTTATCGCAATAATCTGCCAAAATGTCCCTGAATCGAGGCCAGCTCTTCTCCGGAACGGTGATGGCCGTACGAAAGTTCGTCTTAACTTCCGATATACGCATATAGACACCGCGATTGTTTTGTCCAATGTCGAAATAGAAATTTTTATTATCGACATGCATATGTCTACCTTCGGGTAAGTCGGGTTTGTACGCATGCTCATCAGTACTGAATTCGTCAAGTAGGTCGGTAAGAGCATCACGAAATTCGATCATACCTTGGGCGGGAATCGCAACTTGCGAACGCGGACCGCCACGTGTTATCGTTTGCGATACGCGCAAGAAACGACCGCGTGAATTCTCCTTCAAATCGAGGTAATAACGACGGTTGTCCTTTATCATCATCTCGCTCTTCAGTTTGCCGTCTTCGGGAACGTTGTCCGGATTCGGAGGTCCTGAAACATGGCGAATTAGAGGCGGCGGGGCAGGCCGATTGACGTTTAAACACAGCCAACTTTATTTTATGTTAAATGACTTTTGGTAGTGTTTTTTTTTAATTCGATAACAACTCATTCAATAAATAAACGATTTGGTACCATTACATTATGTCTTAATGATGATATACTTATCGATTTTCGTTTTTTATTATTACCTATAAAAAAAAAGTTACAAAAATTATACTTAATAAACTAATGAGAACAATAACCTAGTCAGAAACTTGAAATAATTGTATTTACAAAGCTTAAAATGTTAAAAATACATCCGAGAAAAAAATCTCGACTTTCATAATTATTATGTACACAACCCTTTTCATTTTCATTTTCAAAATCTATAAAAAATTGTATACAACAAATGGTGCACCAACTCGTTGTTGAGAAATATGTGTAAATTAGAAGAAAAATGTTGAAAAGTTTTTAATTTTACAAAATCTGAAACTACAAACCTAATTTCTTAAGTTCCTCAATTCACATTTACTCATATATCGAAAATGACCCTTTGCAAATTTGACAACACTGTGTATTAATTTGAGACGTTGACATGGTAACAATGTTAATTCCCAAAGAAACTAATTTTTTTAGACAATGTTGCCACATTAAATTTATCTTGATACGTTTTTTACTAATTTAAAAAAAAAAGTTATCTTTATACAAGAGGTGGTTCAGAATTCACGCGCCAGAGAAAAATTCCATGTAAGGTAAGATATTAAGAACATAGAAATAATGTTTAAAAAATTACATCTATAAGAATTTCGAAATTATGGAGGTTTAAACTTTATTTATTTCTCTATATTTTCCGTTTTTTGCACTTTTACTGAATAACCGTGAAAAAAGATATACAAAACCATCGGTAACAATAAATAAATGGACATAAAATAGATCAAATGTCAAAAAATTAATGTCAAAATTTTTTGATAATAGAATTTTTTAAACTTTGTTCCATGTTCATGATTCATGAGCGCGAATTATGAACCATGTTCCTCTTTCATTAGGTTGGTGGGTGTCTTTTTGAACGCCCTATATAAGAAAATGTATTTCAAGAAAATGACTATAGACATTTAAATAGTCACATTAATTTTTATACTAAATGAAAAAATTAAAAAAAATATGTTAATGTATTACTAAAAAATTTGATACTTTTTCATGACCCACTGCGTAAACAGACTTTGTTAAATACATAATAATGCTATACATATTGTAATAGGTATTATGTAAAAAACTTCAAAATTCTTTTTCTTTTTAATTTCTCTTTTTTTTAATTTTTGAATTTTGCCCCTTTATCTTTATTTTTGCTTTTAAAACTAAGGTCCAGTTTCATAATCGTATTTAAAGGAGCTTTAAGTTAAGTGTTGTTTAGAATGTGTTGATTATTACGGACTTGTTGACAGAAATTTCTCATTCTAAACCAACATTATTTATAAAATCCTTTTAATTCGATTATAAAACTGGCTCTAAGTGTTTCATTTTTTTAAAGTTACAAACAGGAATAAAGCACCAATTTTAAATCAATTTTTAGAAAAAAAAAAAAATGAGAAAATTTGATCAAAATGTATTAATCTTTATTTTCAAAAAAATTGTTTTAACTTAAAATTAATAATTTTAATACAAAATTTCTTTAAAACTCACCTTTATTAAATATTTTAAATAAAAATTAACACAAAATGTAATCAAACAACTTGGAAGATTTTTTTTTATATAAATCAACTATTTAAATTATATCGATTAGTCTTTTATCCATTTACTAGATTTGATTTATACTTTATAATACATAGTTGTTTCTTTGTTTAATAATTTCAAAAAAGTTTTTTTCATGACCAATTGCGCAAACAAATACTATACATAATGTATCAGAAATAGGTGACCAAGCCAAACAACTCTCTAGGTAATTTTTTTGATTTTTTTTTTTGATTTTTAAGTCGGATCGTGTCAAATTTAAAATATCTTCGCTTTTATTCTTATTTTTTGGTTCTAAACCCGTTTTACAAGTTTCTTTTACACTCTGTATAGTTCAATTTTTTTAAATAACAATTTGAAAACGAAATCATACAGTAGTTAAATAGAAACTCAAAATTTCAACTTATTTTTCATTCTTACCGAGTAAACAAATTTTGTTAAATACACTATTTTTCGTGGCTATTTGTGCAAAAAAATTCTTAGAAACAATAAAGTCAGCGTCAGTAGCACAGCAATGCGGAAAAAAATTATTTCCTATGTTAACCTTGACGAATAAAAGTTTCAAATAAATTTAAATATTTTGACAAGTTTAAAATTCAATTAAGTCAGCGAAATCCTTAAAAATATCGAACACTTTCTTAAGTTTTTCAGTGGGCGAATGCGTAAATAAATTTTTGCAAAAGAAATTCTCATCGATGACTAATTTCGGCACAAAGAGCGAACTTTCAGTGATGATTAGACGAATTATAAAAAAATGTTTCCTTCGTTGGCCAATGAAAAGCAACCAATTGAGTAACGAGATTTCATTGAATATTCGTAACATATTTAAAATAGTTTGAATGACTCACTGATAAAATAATGTTTGGGTTTGTGATTGCGAAATGAAAAAATTCGGTTACTGTGTTGGCACTTGTCAAAACGTGAAAAAAATAGCGATGCAGGCTTACCCAACGAGGAATAAAAGTCACTAAAGGCAGAGAGGTGATCTCTAAATTCGGCAGCAGTGGAAAGGGCCAGGAATATCTGTGAACGCCTGCCATCTGCTCCGATCTAAATAAAACAACAGGAAAACTGTAAAAATACAATTCAACCAACTAATAACTGAACTCTAAAAAATGACTAAACAAAAAAGAATGAAAACAAAAAAAATAGTGAGAGAGTTTAAGGTCACTTACCTCAGCAACTTTGATAAACCTTCCTCTCCGATTTTGTTTAACGTCTAAATAGAATCGTTTACTTTGAATTTGTAACATTTTTGTGGCCAACTCTTGCTCCACCTGACCCTGTTGACCTGTAAAAAAAAATAAAAAAATTAGAAACAAAATAAAAAAAAGTTGAATTAAAAAAGCCAAACTGTACTTGGGTCATGCCAATATTGTATAGAAGAGGCCCAATCAAAATCCATTTGTAGCGTCCTGAAAACATGAATGAAACGCGTCTTTGGGGCTACAACCCATCAATGAATCACCAGCCGGCAAGTCTCTAGTAATGTCTTAGTAGAGAATTCCCGGAACGTGCAATGAGTCATTCATTCATGACCGGTGGGGGGCTTACCTGGGTCGTATTCGCTGCTCCCCTGTTCCATCCCTTGATGATACTCTAAAAAACGCTCTGTTAGTAACAGTTAGTACGACAGCCCCCCAAATCCTCCCGTTAAGTTGGCGAGTTTTCACGCTTGCCAACGCAACAACGTCAACATTGGCCAAGGTCGTTGCGCGACTGGGGCAAGCAGGGGCGCAACAGCCCCCGAGACACAACGGAAAAAATCGCCATTTTGGTTCGCTTGTCAGATTTCGAGGAGGATTTTCGGGGCTCGGGATGGCACAGGAGAGGGGATTTCGCGAGGGCCGGAGGGGTGCAAGTGCCTGAAAGCGAGACGATCACGGAAATGGGGGCTGCGTACTCACTTTGCGAACTTGAACCCTCATCTCCGCTTCCTAAATCCGACATCGCAAACCCGACACACACACAACCTTCACTGGGTTAGGGGAAACGCGAAAAGTCACCAGAAACTCACCAACTTGATCCGGTGTAAACATCGAATTTTACACTCAACATCGAATTTTGTTGACCAACGCAAGGTTTTGTAAGTTGCTCCGGGGGCGCGTTTTATCACAGCCTTTCAGCTTATCGACAGCTTCGGCCACAATCACAATCAGCGCATTCACACAATTTGCCGACGAAGAAATGCGAAAATCAAAAATTCGACGAAAAAAACAAAATTACATAAATAATTCTTATTCAAATCACACACATTATGTGAAAAGAAAATAATTTCTAGCACACAAACACAAAATTTTTATCTAAAGCCCCTTTTTCCATCCTAAACGAGTCAGCTAAAATGGTGAAATTACATAAATTTGTGTAGTTACCATGGAAATGCACTGAAATTTGTACGTAACTATGGTAACAAAAAAATTACAATAATGAGTTGTCGTAGTAACAATCGAAAATTCGGACCAATGGCGGGTTTTTTTCGACACTCTGTATGTGAAATATTTTTACTTATTACTAATTTATTACATCACACATCGTACGACATTGAAATGACGCCGTCTATGGCAATAAGTGACCTAGCACACTAAAAAATCGTTGAAACGTTCAGAATTTTTCACTGATAATGACGCAAAATTCGTTTATAACTCGAAAATTGGTGCAAAGTGCGTTCGATTACAGCATTGCTATTTATAGCTCGATTATGCAACCGGATTAGGCGATGACATAACATCGATAAAGTCCCAAAGCGCGTCATTGTTTCGATGTTCGATGAGTTTCATCGAATTTCCGGCGCATGCGTGTGTCATTCGCCGTCGCGTCCGAGCGAGGGGAACAAAGATGGCTATGGCTCTATCCGCCATTTTCTAAAGTGAGATAGACTAAAGTGTTTTTCGTGAAAATAGCATGTTTGGGTGGGAAATTGAGCAAATTTCCGTGGAAAATTGTTAAAAACAGTTCGACGAACTTATCTTTGGGGCTGTGGCAATGCGTCGCATTGAAAATTAGTCTTTTTCGGCGTCTTGAAAATCGGCGTCTCTGTGGAAACAGCGCCGTGTGAGAGTAAAGGTAAATGGTTTTCTTTGTTACTTCTACACTTATTTCATTTCAACTTTATCAGCGTCTTTGTTGTAAAAAGAGATAAATTTGAGCGAGATGTGAGAGTTTTGAAATGCGAATGATTGACGTCGGTCTATGTGTAAATAGAGATGTGGTGATTGTGGAGGCATTGGGGGCGCGCCCAAATCACCGGTTTTTCGACCAGGGACTGTTTAAACCCGATTTGGGGGTTTACTGGCATGGGGGAGTTTCGTTTTCGGGGGTTGGTGCACATTTCGGAGCTTTTTTGGGAGGCATGCCGGTACGGGATTGGAGGAAGGGCTGTGACGTCACAATGCATGGGTGATTCGATTCAAGCTCATTGGGGCAATTTTAATTGATTTGCAATCAAACTAATGATTATTGAATCTTCATGCCAAAAACTTAAAAAAAGATTAAAATCAAGATATCAACTCCGTATGGAAACATTCTAATAAAAAAAATACTACGATTAGGGGATTTGTGGTCAGACTATATGTGAAAAAAGTCTAGTGTTTTTCTTCAAAATACCAACTGAAAATGATTTTTATTTTTTTATTGAAATAATGTCAAAAATTTAGAAAATTATTATAAAATCAAATTGTCTGGGCAGTATGGAAATATTTTGGAAAAAACAGTAGGATTAGGGAATTTATAGTCATACTGTTTGAAAAAATTTAGTGTTTTTCTTTAGTTTATTAATTTTTATTGAAATATGTCAAAAAACTTGCAAAAGTATTAAAATCAAGATATCTGTGCAGTGTGGAACATTACAATGAAAGAAACACTAGGGGTCGGGGATTTGTGGTTAAAATACCAACTTGAAAAAAATAAATTCCTTTGTTTAGTTATTATTTTATTGAAACAATGTCAAAAGTTTGCAAAAAAATATTAAAATCAAGACATCTATGCAATATGGAAACATTCTAACAAAAAAAAAAACGGATTAGGGAATTTGTGGTCAAACTGTTTGACGGTTTCTGTCCAAATTTGAAAGAAAAATGTTTTGTTTATTTATTTTTTATTGAAACAAAGTCAAAATCTTGTAAAATTATTAAAATAAAGATATCTACGTAGCCTGGAAACATTCTAGTAAAAAAAAAACACTAGGATTAGGGGATTCGTGGTCAGACTGTTTGAAAAAAAAGTTAGTGTTTTTCAAAAAAAAAAAAACACCAACTTAAAAAAATTTTTAATAGTTTATTTTATTGAAATAATGTCAAAAACTTGCAAAATTATTAAAATCAAGATATCTATGCAGTCTGGAAACATTTTAATGAAAAGAGAAACACTAGAATTAGGGAATTTGTGGTCAAACTGTTTGAAAAAAATCTAGTGTTTTCTTTCAAAATACCAACTTGAAAAAAATGTCTAGTTTATTTTTTTTTTATTGAAACAATGTCAAAAACTTTACAAAAAAATTAAAATCAACGTATCTACGTAGCATGTAAAAAAACACTAGGATTAGGGGATTTGTGGTTAGACTGTTTGAAAAAAAAAAAAATAGTGTTCAAAAAAAAAACACCAACTTAGAAAAAAATTTTTGGTAGTTTCTTTTTTATCGAAATAATGTCAAAAACTTTCAAAATCATTTAAATCAAGATATCTATGCAGTCTGGAAACATTTTAATGAAGAATAAAAAACATTAGAATTAAGAAATTTGTGGTGAAACTGTTTGAAAAAAATCTATTATTTTTTTTTCAAAATACCAACTTAAAAAATTTTCTTTAGTTTATTTATTGAAACAACGTCAAAAAATTAAAAAATTCATTAATTAAAATCAAGATGTCTATGCAGTCTGGAAACATTTGAATGAAAAAAACACTAGGATTAGGAGATTTGTGGTCCAGACTATTTGTAAAAAAAAATAGTTTTTTCAAAATACCAACTTAAAAAAATGATTCATTTATTTTCATTTTCAGTTTATCAATTTTATTGAAGCAATGTCAAAAACTTAGTGCATAATTATAAAAAATCGAGATATCTCTGGAAACATTGGAATTAAAAGCACTAATATTAGGGGATTTGTGATCAAAACACCAACTTGACAAAAATAAATTCTCTAGTTTTTTCTTCTCGTTCCAGTTGCTTGAAAATCTTCCGACCATCACAATGTTCGACCCAAACGCAATCACGACCCAACAGTCCCAAATCCAGTACCAGCAGCCCCAACCCACCGACAAGGACAAAAACCAAGAGCCCCAAAAAGACACTTTCCCCTCCTTCTGCTACGCAAACGTCAACATGATCCACAAAATAACCCCAAACACCACCCAACCCCACAATTCCACTGTCAACATGTCTCAACTCTCCGACGACAAATGCTACATCACTCAGCCCTTCTCCTACAACTACGCCCTCGTCAACCAAATGTCCCTAACCCAAAACACCATCTCGAATATAACATTCAAATGCGACGTGTGTGGCCTAATGTTCGCCCATTTGTCCCTTCTCAACCACCACAAACGGGTACACCAGCCGCAGGGTGACCAACCCCAGCAACAAATCACCGTCCAGGTCCAACAACCCCAACAACCAACCCAAATCCAGATTGTCTCCGCTGATAGGATTCGGTTTCCGTGCGAGGAATGTGGACTCACTTTCAACACGCAAAATGATCTGAAATCGCACAAGATACAGACACATCAGCCCCAACAACAGCCCCAAAACACACTAAAAATCAAAAATTGTGAATCGTGTGGGGCCCCCTTACCGCAAGACAATAACAAAAAAAGAGCCGTAATGAAAGTCAAGTGCGAGAATTGTCTCTCAGCGGAGGCTATACAGCCCCAGATTTTCGTTGTAGCGACAGCGAGTGACTCGAATGTGAAGTTTGAAGAGTCCACGGGGACACAAACGACCAATCAGTCAAGTCTAGGGACCCAAAACTCGATTCCTATTGGTGTAAAAAATAATCATCCTGTGAAAAGGAGGGGCGTGGCGAGTGTCACTAAATGTACTAAATGTAACGGAAGCGGGATTATTTTCATAGGGGGGTCGAAAAATCAACAAAATAATGTCGATAAGCCGTTTCATTGCAATATCTGTAATGGTGAGTAGCACGAGCCGAAGGCGAGTGCTTCAATTAAAAATACTAGTAAGTTTTTTTTTTCATTACAAAAACTAATTTTTAGGTTCCTTTAGTCGTTACTCTTCCCTTTGGTCACACAAACGCCTCCACACCGGCGAGAAGAATTTCAAGTGTAACATTTGCGGTTTAGCCTTCGCCAAGGCCGCCTATCTCAAAAACCATTCGCGTATTCACACCGGGGAAAAACCGTACCGTTGCAACGTTTGTGGTATGCAATTTTCACAATCCCCCCATTTGAAAAACCACGAACGGATTCATTCGGGGGAAAGACCGTACGTTTGCGAAGTGTGTGAAAAATCCTTCGCGAGACATTCGACTTTGTGGAACCATCGGAGGATCCACACGGGGGAAAAACCCTACAGGTGCGACATCTGTGGTTCGTGTTTCAACCAAGCTACACATCTTAAAAACCATGCCAAGGTGCATTCGGGCGAAAAGCCGTTCAAATGTGATATTTGCTCGGTGGGATTTTCAGACAGGTTGGTTTTTTTTTTTGGTTTTTGTGTCATTGTGATTGTGATTTTTTTTGTAGATTTGCACTAAAGCGACATAGGAATATTCATGAAAAATACGGGAGGACTAAGCCTAACCCTCCAGCTTCCACGACCGAAGATACTCAAACAAATAATACGACAAGTGATTCGACGACTACGACTGTTACGACTGTCGCAACAGCGACGCAAGACACAAACGAACACGAAGAACTTTTAGAAACGAAATATGAGGAGAAATTTGTGCCGTCGGATGAGATAACTGAAGAAATGACCGATATTTCTGAACTACAAGTCCAATTATCTTAAATGACAAAGTATTATTTGGTTTTTTGTATATAAACTTCCTTTTAGTATTGTTAGGCTGATATTTTTACGCAATTCATTTTTATTTAGACTTTTTTTTATGACATCAGCTTTGTTATCTTGAAATATAATGCTAGATAGGTTTAGAATAACGAAAAAGAATATAATTGCCATTTTTGTTGTTACGAATTTTTTGGCTGCGCTTTGCCCTCCATTATTTTGTTAGTCATTACTTTACAGTAATAAATGCTCAAAGTATCGTAAATTGCTATTTTTATCTTCAAAAATGCAAAAACTGCAATTGTTAGGCAACCAACTAAACATCACGCGTCCGGTGTTGACCACTTTTTTTTAAAATCACTGCAAAACAGTTATAGAACACCACTAAATTGTTCCTTAATTAGTTAGTATAACAAAAATTATCATTCCAAAAGAATGCGAATTCTTTACATTTTTTAATTATTATGCAACCAACTCTTCACCGCTTACACCAAATTTTAAATCAAAAGATGACTGCAAAACAGTAATAATATTCAAATAAAACGCCAGCAAATTGTCATAAACTGCTTTTTAATTAATTACTGTTGCAAAAACTATCACTTCAAAAAAAAACGCAAACATTTAATTTTCTTTTCTGTTATGCAACCAATTATACATTTTGCGACTAAACTGTAATAACTTTTCAACACATTTATTTTAAAAAAAAACACCACAAAGTTGTTACAAATTGCCTAAAACTAATTATTATTACAAAAATTTCATTTCAAAAAAGAATGCAAAGACCTATTCTTGATTGTTATGCAACCGACTATACATTACGTGTAATACTTTGACCACTTTCCTGAAAATTATCACAAAATTGTGACAAAATATTTATAAAATACCACCAAATTGTCACAATTACTTATTATATTAGTTACAATTACAAAAAATGTCACTTATTTAATTAAAGTTAAGTTTGTTTAACTAAATTGAGTCAAACGTTAGTCACTTCCAGTTCTAGCCTCAAAAGTCAAAACTACTAAAGTAGTGTGAATTTTTCTAATTTATAACTACAAAAATGGTTTAAGTGAAAGCAAGTGATGTGAACCGCTCGAACGCCTTGTTCGCCCCCTTATTTACCTTAAATTAAGTTCAATGGGGGCAAATGTGAGCCACTTCCAGTCCTAACCTCAAACCTGTTCTAAATTTTCTAATTTCAGTGATGTGAACGTCGAGAATGCCTCGCTCACCCCCTCGCAAACGTCGGCGTTCACCCCCACGCCCCCTCTCATCCTACGCCTCTTCCCTAGCCCCCTTCCTCGCCCACTACGCTAACATCACCAACCCCCGCGACTTCTGGAAATTCCACTCAAAATACTCCTCACTGGGCAAAACCGACCGGAGCAAAATCCTCAATCTCACATTCACCGATAATTGTCTCTACGACAAACTCCCAGTTCGGGTCCCCCATGAAGACTTCAACGACTTCCTCATCGCAATCCGCGTGTATCAGGACTTCCAACAGAAGTCCAAATTTGCAAAACTGCGTAAACTGCGACAGGGGCAAAGCGAGCTTCCAATTGCGGGGTACAAACGCGAGATTTTGGACAAGTTGGGGGGCTGTCGGGTTATGTTAATCGCCGGGGACACCGGCTGTGGGAAAAGTACACAAGTCCCCCAGTTTGTGTACGAGGGGGGCTATCGGAAGATCGTGTGCACACAACCACGAAGAATTGCGTGTGTGTCGTTAGCGAAAAGGGTGGCGCATGAGACTTTGACCGATTTTAAGACAACAGTGGGGTACCAAATCCGGTTCGAGAGGAGTAAAAGGGCTGATACTTGTATAGTCTTCATGACGGAGGGGCTATTACTGAGACAAGCCCAAGAAGAGACTTTAAACACCTACGATGTTATTATTTTGGATGAAGTGCATGAAAGACACCTCCATGGGGATTTTCTAGTGGGGATCATGAAATGTCTCCTGTATAAAAGAGACAACTTTAAGTTGATTTTAATGTCGGCGACGATAAATCTCGAATTGTTTACGAATTATTTCAAACGTGAGAAACTCGAAGTTGTACGAGTCCCCGGTCGGCTATTTCCGATCGAAATCGTGTATAAGCCGATCATTAGCGACCCCTATGAGCGCAAACGGGAAAAACTCGACTGTACTCCTTACTTGCAAATCATCCAAATGATTGATCAGAAATACCAACCTAACCAAAAAGGTGACTTATTGATTTTCCTAAATGGCTATAGTGAAATTTCGACACTAGCCGATGCAGTGATTGAGTATAGCCAACTTAAGAAAAACTGGATTGTGCTCCAACTTCACTCAAGTCTAAGTCTCGAAGAACAGGATAAAGTCTTTGATTATCCTCCAGAGGGCGTCCGTAAATGCATAATAAGTACGAATATAGCCGAAACATCTGTCACAATAGACGGAATTAGATTCGTTATAGATTCGGGGAAAGTCAACCGAATGACATATCACACCTCTGGTGGGGTCAATAAACTCACCGAAACAACAATATCCCAAGATAGTGCTAAACAACGTGCTGGAAGAGCCGGTAGAACAGGTCCCGGTATTTGCTATCGCCTCTACTCTGAAGAAGACTTCAAAAACTTCGAAACTTTCACACCGGCTGAAATCCATCTTGTCCCCTTAGACACACTTTTACTACACATGATTTCGTTGGGATTGACCGACTTGAACCACTTCCCTTTCTTGGAAAAACCCAGCGAGAGGAGTATCGAAGAAGGCGTGGAAAAATTGAAATTCACTGGGGCTTTAGAATTGCAAACTGATTGTCTTTTGTTGACGCCGCTAGGGGACGCTTTGGGACAATTACCGGTGGATTTAAGCATCGGTAAAATGCTGGTTTTGAGTACTGTTTTTGGTAATGTCAATGCTGTTCTTGCGGTGGCAGCCCTGCTTAGTATCCAATCACCGTTGACACAAAACGCTTATCGGAATAGTGAAGCACAGGAATTACGTCGAGTCTTGGATTCGAATCATGGTGACCCGATTTCGTTGCTTAATTATTACAAAGAGTGGTTGTCGGTAAAACAGAGTTCTGTACCGATGGTCAAGTCCAAGGGCGAGTCGTCGAAGGTGTGGGCACGGAAGAGGTGTCTCGAAGAGCAGAGGTTTTACGAGGCTACTAAATTACTAGAACAATTTCGGGATATTTTAAACGAGGCTAATCTCTTATCAAAAGTCGCCTCACAAGACTTATCAAGTGAGCAACGTGCTATGAGACACGGTGAACTAAAACAGTTGAAATCACTGAGATACAAACTAAAAAATGAGAAAAAGTCCGAGAGGAAACAATTGAAATATGAGATTTTTGAGGAGAAAGACGAGGAGGAAAAGACTGATTTGAGAGATGTTGAGTTTCGGATAACGAATGATTTTACTCGATTACAAAAATTGTTAAATGAAGCGTCAGCTGATAGTTACAAAGACTTGATTTTGTTGAAATTGATACTGACGAGTGGGTTGTACCCCCAGATTGCCGTCGAGGATGAGTTTAATTCGAGTAAAACTGTATCTGAACGGTTGTACCACACTAAAAACAAAAATTATGTGTTTTTGCGCCCTTTGAGTTACTTTGCGACCAATCCGGAGGTGCTAGAGTTGCATAATGATGATATAGAGGTGCCCCCTCCTGGCTATTTCAGTAAACGACCAATAAGCAAAAAACACCAATTGTTGGTGTATCAAACTATTCTTGAGACAAAAAAAGTCTATCTTGTTAACACAATGCGAATGCCTGCGATCCAAACTTTGATACTTTTTAGTAAAACAATTGCGAGTAACAAAACTTTGACCAAGTTTGTTTTTGATGATTTTTTACTCCTCGATGTGCCATTTTACGGCCAAGGGAAGACATTGTTAATGCGAGGGTTGAAATTGAGACACAAATGGAAACGTGAGCTTGAATCGAAACTAAAAGACCCTTCGCAAGATTTTAACAAAAAAGAAATCTTTTATTTTATCGACGATTTGGTCAATTTTGTCAATACTGATGTCAGTTATAACATAAAAAGATTACTTCCGGCCGATTTGAAAGAAATCTACACGCGGGAGTCAGGTGGGGTTGAAACGACCGAGAAAAACCCCTTTGAGGAGTCTTATAAAATTGTTTCAAATGATGTGTTAGGGGGTGTTCAAGTGACTGAAAATTTCACATATGGGTGTTTGTTGCAAGAGGAATGGGCGTGTGAGATTGAACAAAGGGTCGAAATGGCCCCATTTGAGTGTCAGTATTGTAAATCAACGAAAATGGGGCTATCGGTGTTTAAAACAATACAACATGAAGAGTTTTGTCGGCCGGTGAAAAACAGGCCTGAAGTGGAAAAAGTTGTAGTTAAGGCCAACTCGAAGGTGTTTCATTGTGATAAGTGTGGAAAGGACTTGGTTTTAACTCCGGTTGAGATTTTGAGACACAAAAAAACGTGTAATTAGGGGACTGTGTCCAAGTGTATAAATTGTAAGAAATAAATTTTAAGATTATATTCAGACGTTTTTTTTTTATAATTTACTACGGAACACATTCAAAAACAATAGAAATATGAAAAATGTTGTTTGGTTTAATTTTATGTTGATTTTGTCGAGATTTTGATCAATTTTCGGTATTTGGAGTGATCTATCGCCAATGAGCCCAGAATTATTGGTGATAACCCCTTATGTTTGGTACCGTAGGAAAGCAAATTTAGTTTCCTATCAAATAAAAAAAGATCATTGTTATACGTTTAATAGTTATCGAAAAAAATGTTGATAAAATCAAAAATTTACAAAATAGAAAATACGACTATAACTCCTAAACGATTGCGAATTTTGCATTTTTCTTGGCGTAAATCGATTCCCCGGAACTTTTTACATGCGTATGGTGTAAAACATTAACTATTTTGGAAATAGTCCTCCCACAATTTTCAAAATAAAAAAGTAAAAACATTTTGAACACACTCCCGTATAAAAATGGCTTTGTGGACATGATTTGCATCCTAACTTAATTTTTTTGTAAGTTTGCTCCTCATGCAATTACTCAGTGATAAACAAGACGAAACAATTACGTAATTAATTGATATTTTTAATTACTGCGAGCAATAAGGTCAAAAAACCGGTAATTTTCTCGCATTAAATCATTGAGGTTATGTAAGGGCCGGTAAAACAGAAACCTTGCAAACTTAATTGTCAATTATCCAATTTCCCGTAATGTTAATAGATAATTAGTGAACTATTCAATCTGTTTCAACATAGTTGTGATAAGATTCGTAAATTTGTCCCACGATTAGGCGTATTTTTATCATTTATTTGTCGAGTCGTTAAAACAGATCCCTAATTTTCCCTCAAACGTCATAAGGTTACAGAGAAGGTCAAGAAGTTTAAATCGCGATAATCGCAGTCTTTTTCTTACACAAGAGCTTTAAAAATGTTCTCGAGATTAGTCCGCCCTTCCCTTGCGACTACCCGCGCCTTCAGCACATCGAAACAGGTGAGTAAACAAAATTCCAGAAGCCCACTAATAACCCTTACATAACTCCAGAACAATGTCAAAGTGGCCGTCGCCGGCGCCTCTGGGGGCATCGGCCAGCCCCTGTCGCTCCTCCTCAAACAGAGCCCCCTAGTCACCGAACTGTCCCTCTACGACATCGTCCATACCCCAGGAGTTGCCGCTGACTTATCCCACATTGAAACCCCCGCTAAAGTCAAAGGGTAGGTTTGAGACCCCCCGAAGCGTCCCTTAACCCTCAATTTTAGTTTCAACGGTGCTGAGAACCTCAAACAGGCTTTCGCTGGGGCCGAAGTTATCATAATCCCGGCTGGGGTCCCCCGCAAGCCTGGCATGACCCGCGACGACCTTTTCAATACCAACGCCTCAATTGTGCAAACTTTAGCCGAAGCAGCCGCCGAGAGCGCCCCCAAAGCCCTAATCGGGATCATCTCAAACCCCGTCAATTCCACAGTCCCCATCGCGGCTGAAGTATTGAAAAAAGCCGGGAAATACGACCCCAAACGACTTTTCGGAGTCTCAACTCTTGATGTAGTCCGAGCCAACACTTTCGTGGCCGAACTCAAAGGCCTGAACCCCTTAGAAGTCAAAGTTCCCGTGATTGGGGGACACTCAGGGGTCACTATAATCCCCCTTATTTCACAAGCGACCCCTTCAGTGTCTTTCCCTCCAGACCAACTCAAAGCTTTGACTGAAAGAATCCAAGAAGCGGGGACTGAAGTTGTGAAAGCTAAAGCGGGGGCTGGTTCAGCCACTCTTTCAATGGCTTATGCTGGGGCCCGATTTGCAATTTCGTTAATTAGGGCCCTCAAAGGCGAACAGAATATAATCGAGTGTGCTTATGTCGAGTCGAACTTAACTGAAGCCAAGTATTTCTCAACTCCGCTACTTTTGGGTAAAAACGGAATCGAGAAGAATCTAGGATTGGGGAAATTGAGCGATTTTGAGCAAGATTTACTCAAGAAAGCGATCCCAGAATTGAAGAAAAATATCCAAAAAGGTGAAGATTTTGTTAACAAGAAGTGAGCTTTTGTAAGATAAAATAAAAAAACAATTACGAGTCAATTGTTTAATAAAAAAATTTTACTCATTATCTTCCTCATCGTCGTCTTCCTGACTATTAATCTGGAAGTATCTCAATTCATAGCTGTCTTTCCCGGATGCTACAACTCGCAACCAATCCCTCAAATTATTCTTCTTGAGGTATTTCTTCGTGAGGTACTTCAAATATCGCTTCGAGAACGGAATTTCCGAATTTAACACGACTTTCGTGCTCTTCTCGCGTCCTAAAGTAACAGCATGTTGGCTCCCTTTCCCCGAAGCGAAATTTCCGGTTTTTCCATTAATCTTAATCTTAGTTTTCAAGTATTGTTCCTGGAATTAAAATTTTAGAACCGTCACACGTCAGGGGGCCAAACTTACGAAACTCGCAACATCGAGAATGCTGTCTTCGACAGGGTGAGTACAATCGATGACGAACCGCAATGCCACCTTCTTCTTCTTTAACCCTTTACCGCGGATTTGTTGTTTCTTAGCTTGGGGCTTCAAGGCTGGGGCAGGTTTTGTCTGGAATCCACAACAAATAAGTTGTGTTTCGACCAGACATGAAAGTGAGGTTAGGTCGAATCTGGACACGAAAATGCCCATTTACACGCATAATTAACAATAAAGCCCCCCTAATAGGGATGCACACACGACCCGATTGAAAATTGAAGGTTTTATACGATTTTTGCCCGTTTCGAGGTTAAAATAAATCTGTCAACATCCGTCAAAATGGGGCAAATTTTCGCCCAAATTACATAAATATTGAATAAATGAGGTGTTAGGAAACGAAATTGAAAGATATTGACGCGAATTTAAGTCTTTTTCCCATTTTTTTCAACATTTTAGTACTTACCGGAGCCATCGCACACGTTCGCGTCACTGTCAAAAAACAGAAAAGGAAGGGGGGCAAGTTTGCCAACCCACCCACAAAATTCCCCAAAGTGCGACAAAATTTAAAAAACCCAAAAAATATAATTAAAAACGTAATTTGTGTTATTTTTCTTTAATTACACTACGAGTTTTATTTTTTTGGGTCATTGCCCTGCTTAATTATACAACAAAATCGTCAAAGTTGAACTAATGAAGAGTTTACATGACTTGAATGTTATTCCAGGGCAGGCTCCCAATATTAATGAAACTCACATTTTTTAGTAATTTTAGTGTTTTTCGTGTGTTGCGATTGACAGTATCCGAGCCGGCGTGATTACCACTACGTTAGAATCACCTCCAGTCAAATTTCAGGCCATATTTGGTCATTACGGGCCTGGTAAAGTTTGTTTACATTACCAAAACTAACTTCTTCATATGTGAGAATGAGAATCAAAACTTGAATGTGGAAAAACGAGTTGATATAAAATACTGGTTGAGGTGTTTTTCTTGTTTCTTCTTCGTTTAGTGATTGTGCTGCGTACGTGTTATTGTCAAATTTTCCGATTTTGGTTAAAAGGTAAGCGAGAAAATTGGAAATTGTGACATTGCAATGTCAGTTTTGACAAGGACAGGGGCGGGGTAAGGGATAATTGTGAAGGGTCAGTGATAAAGGGAAAGTGATAATGACCTTCCGAGGCCACGTTGGAGATAATTTGCAATTAAAATTCTCAACATTAATCGATAATTGTTAAGATAATTAAATTGCCCAACTGAATAAGTAATTAATAAGTAGAGTAGGTGGCTATGCACCATATAAAAATGACCTTGTTTTATCAAAAAAGCACTAAAACGGCAATAAAGTGGAAATATTTTAATGGTTTTGTCATAATAGGCCATAAATTTCGCTTTATGGGCGCTTTTTACATTTGGAAGAAATAAAAATTTTTTTTTTATTATTTTTATCTAGCGTGCATAATAAAAACAAGAGAAAGTTGAATATGTTTTAATGATTTCCGGTTGAAATTGGATTCATTTCTCATTTAACATAAAAATGCATATTTGTTATTATGACGTTGGTAACTTTCATTTACCAAATTTTACACGTCACGGACCCTTAATTTGTTTACACAGCCTGCTAAATCTGGTTTATGAATAAATAATACGACGAATTAATTTCAGTTTTATTCCCAACCTTGTCTATTTTTTACCATTTCTAATATCCACATTACAACAGTACAAATTTCAAGGCTTTTTGGCGTATTTTTGTTACATTCATTTGAGGTCATTCAGTTTTTTAGAAACTGCAAGTTGCAAAAACAAATAATCAATTATGTCAGCAACTTGTTCACGGAAGAAACAAAACAATGTCGATTTTTGTTGTACTTTGCGTTCAATTACTTAACGAGACGTAGTGAGCCTTGAAAAACAAATTACAACAACGTAATTAGGGAAATTCCTAAGCGCTACCAACGTTTAAGAAATTTTGGTTCCTAATTTGATTTTTTCCAGAATGTCGAGCAGCGAAATAGTGTCATTTTACACCGGTAAAAATTTCTTCATAACTGGTTCCAGCGGTTTCGTTGGTATTTGTCTCTTGGAGAAGATTCTCCGTGTGATTCCCAACCATGGTCAGATATATCTCCTCCTGCGCCCCAAGAAGGGCAAAGACATAAACGAGCGCCTTGAAGAAATCAAAAAGAACCAAATTTTTGAGAAATTACTAGCCAATAAGAGTGTCGAAGACGTGTTTCGTGGCGTCCAAGCAGTTGCTGGTGATGTTGGTCAAGAAAATTTAGGGATTTCCCCTGAAGATCGTCGCCTACTTGTCGACAATGTCAATGTTATAATTCACTCAGCCGCAACTTTGGATTTCGGTGATACGTTGAAGACTACAGTAAATATCAATCTCTTGGGGACACGTCGCGTCACCCAATTGGCTAAGGATTGCAAACAGTTGAAAGTTTTGGTACATGTCAGTAGTGCATACGTCAATTCATATCGTCTCGACTGTGAAGAAATCATCTATGATAAACCATGTGACAGCGAGGAGTTGATTTCATTGGTCGGTAAGCTAAACGAGGCGGAACTTGAGAAAAAAACACCGGAAATACTCAAAGACCATCCAAACACCTACACCATAACCAAACATTTGGCCGAACATGAAATTAAAAATTGTGAGACGATTTTTCCTTGTACTATAGTACGGCCTAGTATGAGTGAGTCGCTAAATTACTTGTCAACCACTTATTACAGTTTCCTGTAATTGTAGTTATCGGCGCGTGGAAGGAGCCGATTCCTGGGTGGACAATTAGTAAAAATGGGCCACAAGGGTTTCTCATGGGGGCTGCGAAGGGGGTGATTCGTCGACTTCCGGTCGGTAAAAGCCTCATTTATGACTACATCCCAGTCGACGTGGTTGTCAATAATCTACTAGCGGCGGGGTACAGTGCTGCCAACCATCAAGCCAAACAAGTGGAAGTGTATCACTGCACTTCAAGCACCCGAAATCCATTCTCGTGGATTTTGATCGAAGATCGAATTAATAACTATTTGCACGAATATCCGTTAAAATCGGCCGTTTGGTATCCATATTTGAAGTTTCTGCCATCGGTCACGTGGTACAAAATATCGGCGTTTTTCGTCCATATTTTACCAGCGATACTTCTCGATTTTGTCACTAGGGTCGCTGGTGGCCGGCCTATGTAAGTCAGGAAGTGGCTAAAGCTACACCACTTGACACTACAATTTTTTTTTCTAGTTTAATGAAACTACATCGAAATGTAAACACGTCACTAGACCGTCTGGAAAAATTCATTTTCACTGAATGGAAATTCCACGCAAATAAAACAATGGAGTTGCATAAATCTCTGTCAAAAACGGACCAAGACATGTTTATCCTTGATATAACACATCTCGTTTGGTTGGATTATTTCAAGGATTTAGCAGTCGGAGCTCGAGTCTACTTGAATCGCGAACCGTTGAAGAATCTAGCCGGCGCGAAAACAAAAGATAACATGTAAGTGTCAAAAATGGACAATCACGTGACTTGATTTTGGTGTTTCAGATTGATGATTTTGCATTTGGCCATGCAGGCGGCGCTGTTTTCGCTCATTTGGTATTTGTTTGCTTGTATTTTCGGGATGAAGATGTCGTCGTCGGCGTTCGTCGTTCCGATTGGTTATTTCATATTCAGTTTGTTGTAATTTTTTGTATTTGTAATTTGAATATATGGTTGAAATGAAGTGAGTGTTTTGTTTGCGGTCCGCGTGTGACTATGTGACGTGACAACGTGCGAACGAAGCGAAGAGTAGAGGTAAGAATTTTATCTTGTCAAATTTTATTGTGGTTTTTAATTTTATTTAACAACGAAATGTGTTTGTTTTTATGTAGTTGTTAATTAATTTTTATTGCACGTGGGGTTAATGTGCAACAAATTGCATTCACTAATTTTTCATTGTTTGTAAACCGCTCATTGTTTAATCGAAAGAAAACAAAAAAAACATTTTTTCGATTATTAATTAATTAATTATGGCTGTAGTAAAAAGGCAAAGTGGGCGAACGAAGCGAAGAGTGGAGGTAAGAAAATATTTTTTGTTACATTTTTTAACACTTGTTTGATTTAATGAACTACAATGAAAAGTATTTATGAATTTTTATGCTCATATTAATTATTTTTTATTGGACGTGTTTTTAATGTGCCATAAATTGCATTTACCACTCACTGATTTTACAGAATTATTTGTCATTGTTTGTAAACCAGCTATTGTTTGGTGAGAGGAAAAACAAAGTTACAGTTTTGTTTTTTAATTATCTGTAAAATAACTAAAAAAAGGCTTGCCAACTTGGAAAATACAAATTTCGAAGAAAAAACATACTTTTATTGTGTTTAAATTCAAAATAAATTGTTTTAATCTGTGTACTTGTATTTGCTGAGCTTATTGATAAGAAAAAAAATAGAATTCTTGTAATTTTTTGTACTTTACTTTTTGCATAGCTACCAACCATTTAAATGATAAATTTGTTAAATGTTTTTTAAATATTTACTTAATTTTGCTTGATTTGTGATAAGGAAAATAATTTAGGTGCGACAATAAGAACGTAAAAAGTGAGTTTATTGCAATGGTGTGAAACTTTTCGACGCGCCCCGGTAGCTAAAAAGCTCGAAAGCTCTCTGCTTTATCATCAATTGATTTCCGCTACCAGCGCCGGATGTCACTGTAATCGCCCGCCTTTCCATGGTACTCGCCCAATTTTAAAGGCTGGTATGTGTCATATTATATTGATTTTTTCCTAAAACAAGTGAAATTTTTCATTAATACGTCCCTGTGAATTCGTAAAAGTTCCTTTTTGGTCCCTTGGTGTGAAATCGACGTGTTAATGAATATTCGTGTTGGTTTTTTGGAAATATCAAGACGCCCGTGCCGGCCTTCCATCGTTAGGTAAGAATTTCGTATTTCGATTGGAGGGGGCCCGAAACCGGTGAATGAAACTCGGACTTTGCCCCCCATTCACTAATTATACAATTACGGTGCTGGCAGACGCCCAATTACCGCATAATCGGACGCTGAACTTAACCTAACCTAGAAACGTCAATCCCCACCGCGGGAGGCGTCGCGACGCCTAAAAAGGCACTAGGATTTTTTTTGGTTCATTTCAAGGAGGCTGAAATACTGAATGTCAAGTCGACGTCAGTGCTGCGGTGGTGAATTTCAAACGGTATGACAAGTTTTGACATTTTTTCATTAAGGGGGCTCCCTTTGTAACATCTCCGGTTTCATTTTGATTGGTGGCAATTTTTGCACGTGGCCTTGTAATTAATTAAATTGTCGATTTTTACTTAGAATTTAATTAAAGGCGTTAATTAATCGATTATTACATCATGTCCTTCATAAGAACGTGCGGAATGTTTGAATATTTATGTTCGCATGTTGGAGTATTGTTAGGCAATGTAAAGATAATTTAATTATAATTTCCAAAGTGTATTTGTATGTAAATAGTCTTTTTAGAGTTTCTACCGGGTAACTAAATTATTGTGATTTTTTATCTCTGGTGGTGTCAAATTTAAAATTTTAGTTTGGCAACCTTGACTTTCAAATTCAAACGTCATATTTTTATAGACAATTGTCATTCATTTGTGACGGGCGACTGCAGATTTAGCCGTCATCTGAAACATTCTGATGTAACAAATTAGAAGGATTATCAATAATTCAGTGTTGCCAATAAATTTTTTTTGTCACATACATTAATACTCATGTACCAAGAGTAGTTTAAATAGTGTGGTACTTTATTTCCTCGGGAATAAAACAAATGAAATATCGCTTTTTACCATCGCCGTCTCCATAGAAATAATCCTTTTCTCGCCTGGGCATTTTTTGAGTTCAAGTGATTCCCGTTGGCGCTTTAATCTGGGGAAAATTTTTTGACAAATCCAGTTTTTTAGCTTAAAGGGTTCAATCTCATAATATCAATTCTCCCTGGCGTATCTAGTTTTGTTGTATCCTTCCTTCCCAGCATTTATTAATTGCGTTATTTTTCCTTAATAATTAGAAATTATTCAGTTTTTCCTTAGTAACCCCCGTAACTAAGAAAAAATCGGAATCACTGCTCCAATGCATTTTTTACGAAATGCCCAGGCGGGATATTGATACATTTGATTAAGGAGGCGGTGCTTTTTACTCTTAAAATTGAACAAATTTGACTGATTTATTATTTTCTTATGTTATTATTAATTTAGATGTAGGGAGAAAAGTTCTGTATGCACGCACCTCTAGAATAAACATGTAGGTAATGCCAGAGGCGACCGAATTGAGCCGAGGGCGTTGTCATTCCAGGGACTAAAATAGTTGTTTACTTTCTTGATACATAAATAACTATTAAATTTCAAGAATTTGAATAAACAATGTTTAATTATTAGAATTATATATTTACTACAATAGGAGGGAAAGTAACTTGAAGTGAAGACGTGAAAACAAATATTTCGTTATGAGAAATACATGACAACCGATAAAAGAAAATTATAGACTCTACTCTATTCTTATTTTACTAAGTAAGCGAAACAAATGCATTTGTAATGTTTAATTGAAAAAATGTGTACATATTGATAACATTTTCTTGGTATCGGAACAAGTTTCACCTTTATTTACATCAGTTTCGCCATGGATTGTCACTTGTAAAATTTAATAAAAATATTTTTTTATGTTTTGGTTTTAAATAATATTATTAAAGAACTCGTCTAGGTGCGCTTATAGCGTTTCAGAGTGCGTTAACAGTCTGGTGTACTTTATTTTTTTAATGTTGGTGACAATGCCTAAATTGTTTTCAATATCCTTACCATTTTCAGATTACACACAATACTAAATGTCAGTTTGAGTTGAATTTTCCAACACTGTTGCGTATCACCAACTAAATTCACAATTTGATTTCTTCCGAAACCTCATAAAAAGCGCATAGAAAAAAATTGTATAAAACACTTGTTACAGAAGACCAATAAAGCAATTATTTATTCTTCAACTCGCCACTACGCGGCTCGTATCGGAGTTTAAAACTCTTGCTTTTTTATTGTTTTTTTACTTTATCTTTGTAAATAACCTAATCACCGGTATTGTATATTAAAATTTTTCTATATGTATTTTCCAAATTCTGTTTATATGATTCTTAAAACATTTTTTTAGCTTATAGAGTGTTAGTTTTAGTTGAGAGACCTTGTATATTTTTGTTTATATACAGGTCGTTAAAAGTATAATACAGCTAAATATTTTAAAAACAGTTTTTTAAATGTTTAAAATTATTTAAATTCCATCGTCTTAAATATTGTTCAAGTTTCAACCTGCAAGGATATACCGTGTGTTTAATGAAAAATTTGATCAAAGTGGCCTGTGACTTTGAAATTAAATTGGCAACATTGAATAATATAAAGACAAAAGACATAAACGTTACTATATAGTTTCAGTCTCTACATTATTCATTGTTGCCAACTGAATACCAGTCATGGCACATCTTGATCAGGGATTTAATTGGCATTTTCAGACTGAAAGATAAAAAATACAAAATAAAAAATTAGCTTCTAAAACGAACGAAGCGAGTTACAAGTTTTTGTTTGGAAAACATTGCCAAAATATTACTTTATAATTGTTTTCTGATTAAAATAAAGACAAAAGACATAAACATTACTTCACAGTTTCAGTTTTTACATTATTCAACTTGAATTTCAAAGTCACAGCTTACTTTGATCAGATATTTAATTAGCATGTTTGCAATTGAAATTTAAGCAAGACAAATAATAAGTATGAATAAAAATTAGTTTTCATTCAGAAAAAAGTTAAGAAAACTAGAAGCTGATATCAAATCTTGTTGGATTCGAAAATGTTGTGTAGAAAGTAAAAATTATAGGGTGCTCGCGGCTTTGCCGCTTGCTCCCCTCTTTTAGACCTTACACTATCTGATTCGCAAATGTTTTGTCAAAACTACACTATGAGGTTTTGTCGAAATTTATACAGGGTGTTTCACATAATTTTACGAGGCCGGCGCCTGTAATATGCAATCAATAATCCATTTCCGATACGAACTCGATTACATATTTTGAATATTTGGATAATCTTCTCTTGTTTGTTCACCCTTTCAAAAATTACCACGTTTTTAGTTAGTTAGTGATTAAGGTAGATAAACTAATTGTTTCTGAAAAACAGCAGTTTATGACTATTAATGAAACAACGATTAGTTTGACAAATACTGGCATGTGACTTTTGTATATGTGGGTACATTAGACGGAAGCCTCGTAAAGTTGTGTGAAACTCCCTGTATTATATTTATTAAATTTTCGGTGCTTTTTGTTCATGTTTTTTAATTTTTATAAAGTAGAAACGTCGTCTTTGGGTCTCAATATTAGTTTATCTTTTATTATTTAATTTTTATTACATAATAATAAGACGACTTTTCACGCACTTTCGTCTCTTATCACCTAATTCAAATATTTGTTTTTTAATGTCGCCGATTATTTTCGAGTTTTGCTTTCCATAGTGAAAACACCGTTTCACTGCATCTAGTAGGCCACTGCACAATCAACCGGTTTGAAAATCTCACTAAAATTCGTATTTCGAATAAGTCAAAAAAAAAACAAACTTTTACTCATTACGTCAAGTGTCTTTTGTTTTTAATCCTTATCAAATGGAAAACCTTGTAATTCGCCGGTATTGGGTGGGAGTGTGGTTTATATCACCTCAATGCGGATTCAATGTGATTCAGTTCTGGCGTCGTTCGTGTCCGTATCGCGTATTTTTTACCGGTTTAGTGGGCCATGCATGCGACCATCCGAGTGCAGCGACTCTAACGGAAGACATTGACCTTCTAGAAGATGTTGTGATTCACTCGACCCACTTCCATAGCCCACTAACCCCTCACTTTTCACTCTAAAATAGAAGAAGAATCTTAGTCGTGTCGTTGTCGTTTACAGAATCACAGCGAAGAAGAAAGAAATGAACTGAACGTGAAAAAAAAAACACTATACTCTTCCATAAAGCACAAATTTTTTTTCGACTTCCTATTAAATGTTGGACGATTTTTCGAATTTTTACTAAATGGTGTCTGTAAGAAACGAAATGGCTGCTATACAAAACGGAGTTTGTTCGTCGCACACAACTGTTGCCGAGTTCTACAATGGCAAAACTGTTTTTATAACGGGCGGAACAGGATTCATGGGAAAAGTACTACTTGAAAAATTGCTCAGGTCGTGTCCAGGAGTCGCCAAAATCTATCTACTGATAAGGCCCAAAAAGGGACAAGATGCACACGAAAGGCTGAAACTGCTACTGTGTTCACCGGTAAGTCATATACCTTTTTTCCTCCATATCTTCCTTAACAAGCAAAATTGGGCCCTTGTTTATATAAAATTTTTTGCTTATTTTTGACCGACTAACACAACCGTGTGATTTTGCGAAATTTTTTGGAGTCACCCTCTATATTATTTTTTGATTAGGTAATCTTTTTTCTAATTTTTGACCAATCAGTACACTGGTGTTATTTTAGGACACTTTCTGGAGTCACTTGTATATTATTTGATATATATTTTTTCGTCTATATCCTCTGTATAATCTTAAAAAGCAAAATTAGGCCTTTGTTTATATAAACTTTTTTGCTTATATTTGACCGACTAACACAACTGTGTGATTTTTCGAAATTTTTTGGAGTCACCCTGTATATTATTTTGTAAGCTTTTTCTGACTATATGATTTTTTTTCTTAATTTTGACCGATTAATACACTGGTGTTATATTAGGACTCTTTTTGCAGTCACTTGTATATTATTTTATATATCTTTTTTTTGTCTACATCTTCCCTATCTCCCTTTAGAAACAAAATTAGGCCTTTGTTTATATAAGTTTTTTTGCTTATTTTTGACCGATTAATACAACCGTGTGATTTTGCGACACTTTTTGGAGTCACCCTGTATATTGTTTTGTAAGCCTTTTTTTTTTAACTATATCGACTTTTTTCGTATTTCTGACCGATTAATACACTAGTGTTATTTTAGAACACTTTTTGGAGTCGCCTGTTTATTGTTTTGTATATCTCTTTTTGTCTGTATCTGCCGTATCTTTCTTAGTAAGCAAAATTGGCCCTAGTTTATATAAGTTTTTTTTTCTTATTTTTAACCGATCAATGCATTGGTGTTATTTTGGGCTATTGTTTGGGGTCACCCTATACATTATTTTTGTGTTTTTAGCTGTTTGATCCGATTCGGAAGAGCCGTCCATCGGATCTGCACAAGGTGTTACCCATAGAAGGCGATATTACACAGCCCGAATTGGCGATAAGTTCAAATGACAGATTAATGTTGGCTCGAACCGTCAATATTGTATTTCATAGTGCAGCAACGATAAAATTTGACGAAAAATTGAAATTATCGGTGACAATTAATATGTTGGGGACGCAAAGATTAGTTGAGTTGTGTAAAAGGATGACGAATTTGGAGGCATTGGTGAGTATTGTTTTTTTTATTGCCAATGAAGGAAACAAGTTGTGATTCATGGTAAACAAGTTCTTTTTTTAAATTATATAATCAAAGTTTTCTTTGAAAACGTTAACAATGTGGAAAAGTGAATGAAGATGAGTTTTTAATTGGATTAAAGATTTTTATTGCCAACATATTATTGATTATGTCAGGTGGCATTTAATTGGAATAAATATTGTAGAAAAAAAGCTTGTTTACTTTATGCATTTTCAAGTAATTTTATTGCTAATGGTTTTAAAAAATTTAAAGTTGTTTATGAGATTCTGTTTATTTGATTCTTAAAACATTTTTTAGCTTATTTTATATATCTACAGAGTGTTAGTTCTAGTTAAGGCACGTTATATATTTTTTTATATACAGGGTCGCTAAAAGTATGAATACAGATAAATATTTTAAAAGTGGTTTTTTAAATTGTATAAAAATTTGGCACATGGTTAAAATTATTTAAATTCTATCATCTTAAATACTTTTCAAGGATATAACGTGTGTTTAATTAAAAATTTGATCAAAGTGGCCTGTGACTTTGAAATTAAGTTGGCAACATTGAATAATATAAAGACAAAAAACATAAACATTACTTATAGCTGTTTCAGTCTTTACATTATTCATTGTTGCCAACTGAATATCAGTCACAGCACACCTTGATCAGAGATTTAATTGGCATTTTCAGACTAAAAGAATAAAAATAAAACGATCGAAGCGAATTATTTGTTTGAAAAACATCACTTTTTAAACTTTGTAATTGAATTATTAATTGTGTTTATTTAAATATTTTTGTTTAAAAAGGTTTAATTTTTTTTCTTTATTTAAAAAAATGTTTAATGATAATTTTTTTATATTTATTTGGATATGAGTTTAATTTTAAATTGTTTTGTCATTTTTATTTTCTACAATTACTGAATATTCAAGTGTTAAATTATTACTCATCCTGTGACTCAAAACATTCCAGTATCAACCGGTATAAAAAAACACCATCATATTGCACAAAAATTGAGTTATTGTCAATTAAAACGGTTTTTTAAAATTTGGGTCGCATAATTTGTGGTACCGTTCCACAAAAAAATTGAATCATGTGACATTTGACACTTTTGACAGGTGCACGTATCCACCGCCTACTGCAATTGCGATCGTAGTGAAGTAAAAGAGACCATCTACCCGCCACCTATGGGTCCGGATCAAGTAACCTCATTGGTTGATTGTCTGGATGAAAGCCTTCTTGATTCTTTAACATCACGTCTGGTTGGAAATCGGCCCAATACTTACACATTTACTAAAGCATTAGCTGAATGTTGGTTGAAAGAAAACAAAGGCGATTTACCATTGGTTATTGTACGACCCAGTATAGTTTTATGCAGTTTTGGTGGACCTTTAAAAGGCTGGGTTGATAATTGGAATGGACCAACCGGAATCATTGCAGCAGCTGGAAAAGGACTCTTCCGGACGATGTTATGCGATCCGGAAAAAATCGCCGATTTAGTTCCGGTTGATATGGTGATAAATTTGATGTTGGTGGCGGCGTGGCGCATCGGTACGACCAAAACGAAAGATATGCCCATTTATAATTGCAGCACAGGTGAGTGATTACATTTTTTGTGTTAAGGGACTCGCCGCTACGCGGCTCGTGCTGTAATTTTTTTCATTAGGTCAGAGAAGGCCAATCACGTGGAAGCATTTCGTTGGTTTGTGCTTCAAGTACATGAGGAAACACCCATTTTCGGACGTCACGTGGTACCCTGATGGGACAGTAACGGCGTCTCGTACCTTGAATACAATCAATAAGTATTTATTACATTGGTTACCGGCGTATATAATGGATGGTTTAGTTTGGATGGCTGGAGGGAAACCAATGTGAGTTTTTTATTTGAGAGAAAAAAAAATTGAATGAATTTTTTACAGAATGGTTCGGATCCAGGATAAGTTGTGCAAAGCAGCGACCTGTTTGGAGTACTTTACAATGAATGAATGGCATTTCGATGATGAGAATGTCCGCACTTTGAGTCAACATTTGAATGAGAAAGACCGCGAAGAGTTTTGTTTCGACGTGGCGAAAATCGATTGGGAACAGTATGTCGAGGATTACGTCCTTGGTATCCGACGTTTCATCTTCAAGGAGGACTCATCATCGATACCAACCGCCCGACGCCAAGTGTCGCGTCTTTATTGGTTCTATAGATGCCTGCAGGTGGCGTCGGTGATGTGCATGTGGCATTTTCTAACATTGCGTTACGCCCCCTTGCGGCAGTTGTGGGGTAATGCCCTCAGACTGCTCATTCACTTAGCCCGAATGCTGCCATTTGTATAGATAATAATTAGGTAGGGTGTCGCGACGCGGCGCGACGTGACGCTTTTCTTTTTCACTAAAATTGGTCCCACTTTCCCCTATTTTATCGTGTGTCGTGAGTGTATTGTAGATAATTGTATGTTATGTAATTAAGTGGGAAGGAAAAGCGACGCTGATTGATACATTTATGGTTTTGCTTCGTTTTTTATTCGATTGAAGCTCATTCCAGCTGTGTAAGTGAAACAACGGTTCTTAGGGAATTTTAATTTTTCAGCCGGGGGAAAATTACAATTCCTGGTTTTAAGTGAAAATGTTGCGTGGTTTATTTATTTGTTATTTTTACCATTGTACTAGTCTTATAGTGAATTAAAGGGATCGCTTAGTTCGTAAATAAAATTATTTATTATTTATATTTGTGGTTCTTGAATAACAGGTTTAAAGTTTTGCCAACTTAAAAAATTAAATCATGATGATTTAGATATATCTAGTGAGTGTAGGAGAAAATTGTACAATTTTTGACGATGATTTGCTTGTTTTCCACTGAAATGATGTAATTGTTAATTTTTATTATGAAATAAAACAAATCTCTGTTTAAGCGAATTGAATTAAAATATTAGATATTGTTTATTTGGTGCTTTATTCCAATCTTCGACTCAAATACAGATGATGTGAAAAATTTTTCATGTTTTTATTAGGGATATTTCGGGTTGATAGTTGGTGACAAAGTCGGATGATTTTAATACATTTTTGCAAGTCTTGGTAGTTTGACCGGACACAAAGCCTAGCAATGATGAAATTTGGGGTTGAAATAACACTATTAAGTGTTTTTTATACTTCCCAATTATAAGAAAGAGAAATAATAAATACAACTGAATTTGGGGACTTTCGATTTTTCAGTTTTACTGCCATAAGTGTAGTTCAAGCACAGATTGTTCAAGCAAGTGATTTTTTTAATCGTCCCTTCTCCTAAAAGGTGAGTTTTCTCATTAATTTTTTTTAATATATACATGAAAAAATATCAAAAATGAATAGTCAAGTCTCAAAACAAATTCCCTAAATTATTTTTTACATCAATTATGGCATTTAAAACTACAAAATCGCTACAAAAATAAACAATATGCTACAAAACCAATGACGTGTGCATTACGTAATGCTAAAAAAGTGTCAGAAAACAGTAAAACCCCCATTTGACTTCCTCCGTTAACTTTTACTTCGGGATATTTCGGTTTGACAAATCGGATGGTGTTAATAAACTTTTGCAAGTCTTGATTATTTTGCGCTGGCAGAAATCCTAATAAAGATACAATTATCGATTAAAATAAGAGTATTTAGTGTTTTTAAATCACACAATTATGTATATGAAAAATAAGTTAGAAGTGCAAGTCAATTTGGGGATTTTCGATTTGTTAGTTTTGCCACCATGAATGCAGTTCTAGGAAGTGGTTTTTTCGAGCGTTCGACACTTCTACTAAAGGGGTGAGTTTTTTTAATTAATTTGTTTTATTTTGGTCATTTGCTAATAAAGAAATGTCAAAAATGAGGATTATGTACTACAGCTAAGATTCAAAACAAATTTCCTCAACTGTTTTATGCATCTAATTTTATAACTTTTAAAATATAATTAAGTACTATAAAAGTAGACAAAACGTGACAAAATCAATAACGTGTGTATTTAGCAATGATAGCATAAATATGAAATTATTGTTTAAAACAATACTATTCAGTGTTTTTTATTTCAGTTATGTGAAAAACAAAAGTGCAAGTGAATTTGGGGATTTTCGATTTGTCAGTTTTGCCGCCATGAGTGTGGTTCAAGCAACTGATTGTTTTCTTGCGTCTACTTCCACTAAAAAGGTGAGTTTTTCTCATTTATTTGTTTTATTTTGGTCATTTATAACGTCAAAAATGCGGATTATCAATAGCCAAATTCCCTACATTGTATTTTATTCAACTGTTTTTTACATCTAATTAACTTTTAAAACTACAAAAATAGACAAAACCAATAACGAGTGTATTTCGGAATGCTAAAAAGTAGTAAAAAACAATAAAACCCCCATTTGCCCCCCATTAAAATCGCACAATACCAACTACACAAATTAAAAATTCCTAAAATTATCGGGCATGTTTTTTAAGCAATTCTTTGACTTCCTTATCATCTTCATTATCGGCCCCATTATCAGTCTTGACTTCATTTGCCTTTTCTAAAACCCACACTCCCTCCTCCACTAGCCCCATATTAAGTTTACACTTAGCTATAAATAACAAATTCTTCTTCCACTCGTCCTTATTTAGCCTCTCAGCCTCCTCAAAGTGCCCCAAAGCCTCCTCGTACGTCGATTGGGGCAAATCTGCAGCAATGGCAGTCGCTACTTTCCTCTCATACCACTTTAACGCCGCCATATCGTAACAAAACCGCCCCAGCATGTGGTGTAGGACCGAATCATGGGGGCTCAAACGCAACGCTGCTTCCACATGCTGTTTGACTTTCAAACCGTCAAGAATCTTGTCTTTGAGGGGCTGGAATTTGGTTCGTGACCCTAACAAAATTGCCAACCATTTGTGGACATTAGCGAGCTCAGGGCGCAGCCCTAGGGCTGCATTGCAAGCCTCAACGCCTTCAAATAGGTGCTGTTGCTGGTCAGTCTTCTCAAACAAGCGATAATGGGCTTTGGCAACTCTCCACAACAATTCGGGGTTGTCGGGGGCTTCCAGACGCAAGGTTTGCAACTGTTGGAGACACGTCTCGAGTTCGGTTACATTGCCTTCATCCAAAACTGAATCAATTTGGGTTAAATCCTGAAAAATTAAATCTTTTTTTGAGTTTGTTTACCCCCCCATGTTTACCGTGGACGTGGCCCCCTCGTCGTCGCTCACGTCGTAAAACTCCAAATCAGAACTGTCCGCATCCACCGCCGATGAGTAGTCCTCCGTCGTGGTCGAAGACGCAAAACTCTCCGATTTCTTGGTCTTTTTAGCCCGTTTTAGCCCCCTAAAGACACCCGAAAACTCAGTTTGACTGTTTGTCGTTAAATTATAGAAATACTTTTGTCGTTGCGCTGCTAAAAGGTTGTCTAATTCGCGTCGTAAGACTGAAAGTTCGTTATCCAAACGGGCGAGGTCTTTGGCCATGGCATGGCGTCTCCGGTCTTGTTTAAAACGTTCGACGACGTAAAGTGTGGCCGCACATACGATCCCAAACACACCGGCGCCCAAAATCACGTTCACGTTCTGCGGTAGTGGCATTTTGTGGGGGCTCTCGGCAAGTGAGGTTAGGTTTCTAATTCTGGTCCAAACATGACTCGAGACAATCCCGGGGGCGACTTAGGCGACACACATCGTTTTAAAACACCTGGAATGAGAATTAGGCCGGGAATCGGCCCGAAATTGGGGCACTTACGTTGACGTTTTCACGGAATGACAGATAAAATGTCAAATGTCAATTTTTTTTTTAATTAAAACTCGAAATTAACAATTTTTACTTTTATTGTGTGAAAAAGACGTGAAAATACGTTTAAAATTGAAGAAATGCTATTTTTTTGCAAATTAAACCGGAACTGGCCCAATTGCAAGAAATGACAGTTGAATTGTCAAATTTTTTTGAATAAAAACACGAATTTAACAATTATTTCTTACTTTTATTGCATTACAAAGACGTGAAAATACACAAAATTGAATAAATAATAAATTTTATTTTTTGCCACCTGAAAGCAAAGTGTCATTAATTTATGTCACAAAAGTTGCATAATTTGATTACCTTTTTTGCCCCCTTTTTGGGTACTTTGGGTACTTGCGGTCTTTTGATCGGCTGCTTTAGTAGTTTGCGTCCCCTTTTTTTGCTGAAATTGCAAAATTATTTGGGAAAAGTTAAATAGTGTTGTTTCTTACGTCACTTTGGCCACTTGGTGGGGCTCCTTTTCCGCCTTTAGGCCCTTTTCCCATCGTCGGTTAATTGCGCTTGTTGTTTATTCAAGTACGTTCAAGTACAAAATTCTATTTCAGATTTGGCACAATGTCATTGAATTTAAAAAATTAGCGCGCCATTGTGATTGATTAGGGATTTTTGTGTTGTCAGGTTTGTTACTAAATTATTTATTAAACAAAAAAAATATTGTTTAAAATTGTAAAAATAATGATTGAAACATTATTAATACATTAAAGAAATCAGAAATAATTATTTATTTTCAATTGTCAATAATTTTTTACCAGTATACGGGGGTTATTCGCAAAGTTTCATAAAAAAACACATGTGAAAAGCTTTGAATTTATTTCAATTTGGTCCAATAACAATTCAATCTAGAATTTCTTCGGTTAAATTATGCCAAGCTTCGTGTCTATGATCGGGATATCTAATCATATCTAGCCACTGTTTCAACCTTGAGCCCTTCGATCCTGTGCCCCCCACAATCAAGCCCCCCAAATAGTCGTTACTTTTGCCATAATCCTTATCGTAGACTGTGATATAAAGACTTTGAGTGGCCAACTCAGTGGGGCGTGTCTCAAAAGCGAATTCCTCGTTATATACCGGATTTAGATTTTTCCACTTAATGGAAGTTTTATGTTTCCTGTGGTAAGGATCTGGTCGTAATTGCCTGAAATAAATAAATCGTCACATATACAGGGTGTTTCCATTACGTACAATTTGACAAAAGGGTCCGAAAACCCGTTATTATCCATCGGTAGTAAGTTGGCACACCTGCAAACCATCACAAGCAACGCCCTTCTCTTCGTACTATAGCACAGCGAGAGGAGAATTTGTCCACGTGACCAGAGATCGTCGAACCATTGGTTCAATTCCGGTGTTGGGAGTGGCCCTTTTTGCTCCTGTCTCATTTCCTCCAATGAGGCGGCAACGTAGATTGTGTTTTGTTGTTTAAGTTTGGCTAGTCCGATTCTAGTCTCACCCATGTAATCATGTCCGAATTTGTCGTCGTCGACCACCAGGATGTGGAGGGATTTCTTGGAGAGGTCGGTTTCGGAGATGTCGTAGAAGGTGAGGTTCTCGTTGAATTCGGGGTTGCGTGTCTTGTGGACGGTCTTGGTGCGGAGACGGGTGGAGGGTTTGGCGTTTGGGAGGATGTTGAGTTTGCAGAAGGGGTCGGAAAGGCCGTTGATGTCCATGGGTATGAGGTTTTTGGCACGGTAGACGGTGCAGTGGAGGGTGGAGGTGATGGGGTCATAGGAGAGGGAGAGCTCGATGGTACCCAGGGAGTGGTCGGAAGGCTTATGCTCTTCCAGGATGCTCTGAGAATTTTTTTTTAATAACAGAAAGAAATGAAAATAAATTCATTAAAATATGTTTAAGTTTTGATATAACCACTCGCTTCATTCGTTTGTAAACTTTATCATTTATTGTGTTTACTTGTACATTATTTACAAAGATAAATAAATAAAGTAGTAGCACAGGAAAAATAAAAGGATAAAAGAAAAATTAAATAAATTTAAAAAAAAAGGGGCAAACTCTTCAACCAACATTACATAATTTGACACAGTTTTTTCAATCTTACGAACGATTTCAAGTAAAAAGTACTACTTTACGGACTATTTTGGAAAAAAATAGTTTTTCAGGATTTAAAAACCAAAAAAAAAAAAATGACAAACAGTGCTTTTACATAAATTTGATTATTTCGGAAATTTGAAGTTTAGATTCTATTTTTTTTACATATTAGCAAAGAAAACAGTTAATTTTAAGTAGCATATAAAATGTTACTTCTGCATCAAGAAAAAGTTGACTGATAAAACAGTCTTCATATTGTGTAATGTTAGTTTCATGATTGTCATTTTTTATTCTTTTTTTTCTCTTTTTATTTTTTCTTTTTGTAACATTTTATTTAAAAAAAACAATTTTTTTATTTATATTTAAATCGAAATGGTTGGACAATTTAGTAATTTTATTAAAATAGTAGTAGTATATAAAATGTTACTTCTGGACCAGGACATTTGACGTCTTTAAAAACAGGTTAGAATCCCACAAATTTAGCTGTTTTCCCAAAAGTCGATAACCGAAAAAGGCCTAAAACCCTTCAAAAAGCATTAATTTTTATTCACTCCAAAAGTACCCAAATATCTGTAGACCACCAAAAATTGGGCACATGAAAAAACGGGATAGAGTCCTACAACCTCATTCGCATCCTAATTGTTACGATTTTACATTGTCTAAAAAATTATTAAGTACACCTAAGTCATGAAGCTTTTTTTTAATTTGTTTTTGTAACACAACTATTTACTAGAATATTATTTTCTTTTTTTATATTTGAAAATAATAAATTACAAATTACTTAAAAGTTTAATTGAAACGCAAAACCCATAGCAAAACGCAAGGCCACCTGAATTAAAAGCTACGCTTATAAGGCCGTTTCAATTTCAAGAAAAATGAATGAATTTCAAAGAAAAGAATAAAAAATGACAATTATGCAACTAATATTACACAATATGAAGACTGTTTTGTCAGTCAATTTTGCGAACAATTTGATGTATGAGTCCGGACTATTTCAGAAAAAATAAATTTTGCTGGACTCAAAAAACTGTGCTTTTACATAAATTTGATTTTTCGGAAATTTAAAGTTTAGCTTCAATTTTTTTTTTACATATTAGCAAAGAAATCAATAAATTTTAGTAAAAATACTAAATTATTCAACTTTTTTGGTTTAAATTTTGATAAAAAATTGTTTAATTAAGCAATTTTTTAGAAAAATAAATAATTAAAATATTAGAAAAGGAGAAAAAAAAATAAATTTCAAACAAAAAAAAGCTGTCCAACCAACATTACACAATATGAAGACTGTTTTGTCAGTCAACTTTACGAACAATTTGATGTATGAGTTCGGTAAAGTAGTACTTTACGGACTATTTTAGAAAAAATAAATTTTGCAGGACTCAAAAATCAAAAGAAAATTAACTGTGCATTTACATAAAATTGATTTTTTGGAAATTTAAAGTTTACATTCTATATTTTTTTATACATATTAGCGAAGAAAACTGTTTTTAATAAAAATACTGAATTATTTAACCTTTTTGATCCAAATTTTGATAAAAAAATCTATATTTTTTGCATATTAGCGATGAAAACAGTCAATTTCGTTAAAAATACTGAATGTTTCATCCTTTTCGGTCTAAATTTAGATAAAAATTGATTGTTAGAGTCGATAATTCATGTCCTCGCCTCAAATCGATACTTTATTTTATACTCACTTTAAATATGCTGCTGCTGACACTCGAAGTACTCGGTGAAACTCTATCCTCGCTCCTGCTATCGCTCCAATTCCACTCTGATAAGGATCTGCTAACTGTGGATTCCCTCCGGGATAACTCGGATCCCTCTGCTTGATCCTTGAAACTTGTCTCGCTTAAATTCATAGATCCTAAGCCCTTTAAAGCCTCAAGTTCTTTGGTTTGTTGGGATTCGCTAGCGCTGGATTGTCTTCTTTACAAATTAGTGAAAATATTATCCAAATTAGTTATGTTACAAACTACATTTTTATGTTAAATAGTAGTTAAAAATTAAAAAAATAGTACTGTGCGATCAAAAAAAATAATAAATTAGAGTAGGCGACGATTAATACTCTACATTTGACCATTCTCCGTTTTCGTCTTGTACAGCATTTTTCTAATAACTTGCAACAATAAAAAATTTCTGTTCTAAAGTGAACATTATTTCACTCAAAATAAATAAAACGCAAACTTGTCAAAGTTTCCGTTGATATTTGATGTCAAAAATCAGGATTGCCATCTGAAGGACTTTAATTACCGCCTACTCCAATTAATTTTTTTTTGATCGCACGGTACTTAAAACAGCCGAAAAAAACTCACTTGAATCAGTCCGTAAAATAGCTATTTTTGTGTGTGTAAATAAAAAATAGTGAAAACTCACTTGTGGGTCGACATCGTGGCAACGTCTTGGACGGACTCGTGACCATCTGTGGAAAAACCGACAATAGGATCGTTTTATAAAAATATGGTACAGTCCAATATAATTATAGAGGGTGCGTTTAGTGTTATCAATTTTTAATAGGCTGCTATTACGGGGTTTTCAATAATCAATGCCGATTTAGAGACATACGTGGTATTTGTTTTTGTACTTTTTCGAGTTCTAGGAACTTTTTTACTGTGTCTACCAGTGGCGGCACACGGGGGGCAATTTTCATAAAAAAACTCGATTTTTATATTTATAAAACTTATAGTTTGTGCATGAAACGATTTTGAAACTATCGATTTTTGGCAAAATTTTAGTTGTTTTTTGGTACCTACTTTATAATTGTTTTAAACAATATTTTTTTGCAAAAGTAGAATATATGGCACATGTCTGTACTAAGACAATATTTTCTAAGTATTAAAAAATATTGCCTAAAATACTTAATTATGACATTTAGAAAAAAATTAATTTTGTCAGCTTATACTATATTAGAAGCCATTTAATTATTTTTTTTTTAATTTGTGTAATCGGGCCATAAATAAAAATTCTACAGCGCCTCCCGTTTTTTAAATATCGCCCTGTATAAGTTGCTATTTTGAAAAAAAATCGCGTAACTCAAAAACCAAACAAAATTTTATTTCCAAAATACGATCACATTTTATAAGCATTTTAATTTTTTTAATCATTATTTTATGAAGGCAATAATTACAAAGAAAATTATTTTAAAATTATAACTATATTTTCTTAAAGCTGATACGATTGTGTTTCTTTTTTGTGTCATAATTACCGTTTAAATGTTGACAAATAAAATTTGGTTTGTTAAAATTTTGAACGCATTTTTTGGAAATCATAGATTTAAAAAAAAACAACAGATTCTGCTTTTGATTATCTATCGAAAAGCGTAAACTCGGAGTTATAAGAACTTAGTTTTGGTTAGGGGGGCATTTACAATTTTTCGATTTATTGTAATAAAAAATCATTTTTTTCATTGTTTTACAAAGTTGCATTTTGTGAAAAACTCATAAATGTGCTTTTTGTGCAAAAATTAGGGCGATGTGGAGGCTGCATTGTTTTTAAAAAATAAAATTTAAATAAAATTCCAAAAATTGCCGTTTCATTTTGAAAGTGTATATTTGGTTGCCTAAATTATCTATAAAAATTTCGAAATTATGAGGGTTTAAAGTTTGCACTTTGACTCTATTTATTTCTGTTGGAAAAATAATTTTCCAAGTTTTTTTGCTATAGGCTATTAAAAGTGGAAACAAGGAAGTTGTATCCTAAATTGTAATTCTGTTCAATGTTATTTGTGGCTTTTATTGGGAAAATTTTTGTTCCTTTACTAAATAATTGTAAAAAAACATATACAAGATCATCAGTATCATTAAATAGATATAAAAAATTCTCAAATGTCAAAAATAAATGTCAAAATTTTTTGACAGATAGAATTTTTTAAACATTTTTTTCATGTTCCTAGTATCTTTCCTTACTTGAAAATTTTCTCTAAGATAATATACCAAGAACACGTAAAAAATCTGTCAAAAAATATTGACATTTGACATTTTTTATATCTATTTAATGATCCTGACGATCTTGTATATGTTTTTTTTACAATTATTTAGTAAAGGTACAAAAATTTTGCCAATAAAAGCCACAAATAACATTGAACTCTCATAACTTCGAAATTTTTATAGATAATTTTTTTTAACATTTTGTTCATGTTCCTGGTATCTTACATTATATGGCATTTTTCTCTGGGGCGCGAGTTCTGGCGCACCCTGTATATTTTGAAAAAAATATGCACGAAATGATTAGTTTTCTACGAGATATGAATACATAAATGTCGAAATATTTTTACTTGGCATTTTATTCTTATTTTCTCATACTCGTAATTGTTTTGCAAATAAAACTTGACTCACCTGGTATATATTTTTTTATTTTTTAATAATCAAGAATACCATGCTTTCAATTACATTTCTTATCAAAGTGTGCTGGGATTTTAAAATTAAGTTGACAACATTCAACATATGTATAGAGACGGAAAACATCAGACTTCACAGGCTTCTTTGATCAGAAACTTAATTGAACACATTTTTTGACTCTCCCATTTTGAATTTCTTATAGAAATTGAAACAGAAAATTAATATAATTTTAATACAATTTTTTAAGAAATGTGTAGAGAATGAAACTAGTTTCATATTTTAGCTCAAGAATTCCTAGCTGGGTCACCCAGAAAAGGGTTGATGATTTTTTCAAAAGTTGCTTTTTTTTTAGAAAGTTATTCATTTTTTTTAAATAAATACCGTGGGTGCTTTCCGTACTGGAATTCCTCCTGTGTACCCTGGTCCAAATTTTCCTCTCCTCATCCGACGAGCTGTCCTCATCCCTGTAATTCCCCTTGGAATTCCTCCCAATTTTCCCAAGACTGTGTCTAAAATTTTGATTCTTCTCCGCTGGAAGAATATATTTGGGAATACTCTTAAAAAACCACGCGCCTGATTTTTTCCAAATTTCGCGTGTTTCGGCACAAATCATACACAACCAATAATTTCTCGCGCTTTTGGTGTACGTTTCAATGGCGCATTTTTGGCACACGAGTCGTCGACAATCGATACAGAGGACTTTCTGGGCCCCCAACATCCCAAAACCGTCACCACAGAGCAGACACTGCGAGGGGCTGCGTCCCAGAGCGTTGCGACGCATGTTTTCGAGACGTTCAACCAGACGTCCTACCTATTTCACGAAGTAAATAGAAACTCAAGTTTTTTCGAGGGGCCGTTAACTTGAAAAAATGTGTACAACTAAAAAAGTCAACAAAAATTTATTATTCTTAATTAATTCCTGTAATTTCAACTTAATTATCGTAATTCCAAAATAATTTCAATTTAAATTCCAAATTAATTAAGAAATTCAACGCAATTTTCAAAGAATAAATTATCTCCGATAGTTGCAAAAAGAATTCTAGTA